ATACCTTTGGTATGTGATCTGACACAATTGCAACCGCGCATGTAACGAACGTTGTGTGGAACACACGAGGCCTGTTCCATAGATAGCAGGAAGAAACAAGAGCCAATCCAAATCTGAAGAGGCATCTGATACACCATACACATCATAGCTGCCCAAAGTGCCTACGAATCGGAGAAATCACAACAATGTTTGCGAAAGGGTGACGATTGCGCGTTTGCAACGTTCCGGGTGTAAGAAGGTATGCATGAATCGATATTTCACAAACAGATATTTGACTTAGCTTCATTCGTGTATGCTCTACTTCACCGGCTTATGACCATCACTGAAATAGCCACACCCATCTGCACAAGATACTTGGGAGATACCTGCCTGAGAAAGAAGGATAATCCTGAACAGATCGCTTTTTTGTCACGTATTCAATAGCATTGCCGAAATTTTGTGCTCCTTGGTATGGAAATAAGGAAGCGAAAGGGTTGGTCGAGTGCGAACTCAGAATGCTCAAATATCATCAGTTTGTTAAGAGAAATCGAGGACCGGATATACAGATCAGCTAGGTATGACATGTTTCAGGATGCAGTCAGCCTTGGTATAACAGCCCAGTAGAGCCACAGTGTAGTCCTTGATCTCGCCAATTGTAGCGTTTGCCGCAATTAAAAATATTCTAATCCTAGGTGCAGCTAGTCGTACTACACATACAGGAATGTAGATTTCCGTTTAATCTTTGAAACTAGATAGCCTTTGGATCTCGCTCCATGTAGTTTTCTCGTTCGACTTTCATTCCTCAAGAAATTGCTCAAAAGTTACAGCACCTACCTATCTAAGTAATATATCTGTCAACGACGCCCAACTACCTCAGACATGGCTCTATGTACTTTAAATCTACTTCTCAATCAGAACTGAGTGACATTAAGGCTGAGAGCGATGTCTTCAAGCGGCCCAACAATTAGCTCTTCCTTTGTTTTGAAGCAATCGGTTGATCAAACAAGATCATGTTACTATGGGCCACATATTCATAGTACATATACACTCAAGAGTATCTTTGGAAGCTACCATAACATATTGGCGTCTGAGTCACAGATTAGAAGGCACGAGGCTGTTTTGTCAGTTTATCAGGAAAGACTCTGCCAGCGAACCTTACGAGATGGAACGTCCACTGGAGCCTCGTGTAAGGATTATGCATTCTAGGCTTCATTCATATGAGCTGTACATATAGCGTTTCTCGTCGAAAGATCCCTGAGCGTACGTCAGGGTGTCCACAACAGTAACCCATCTGAGACTCTCTGGCTGACTAAAACCATACGATTCTTCAGGAGCATCATACATTGTCTGCAGATACTAGACTTGCTTATGATCTGTGGCGTTGAGAAACTCTTTAACTCAGACGTCCATCATGTTCCTTGAAACATTGTAACATAACAATTGGCCGATCAAGAGGACAAGAGTGCCAATGAAGGAAATCCATATCACGAGGTATAGTGAAAGAAATATACTAACAGCTGTTGAGATGTTGTTTCCTGGCGCATCTACTGATTCACGCCCAAATCAATTTCCATTTTTCGATGTGAGCCTGCGAGCCCAACCCGTCACCTCCAGAGAAGATTCAGGCAACAAAAGATACCAGAGTGTCAAAGACTATCATAGAGCTGATGTAGCCATCCGAAATTCTCGTTCTGTAGCCACAACATTAGTTGATGAGTTCTGACCGTTGGTTGCGGTTTGTAAGAACTACCGGACCATGACTCCAGTCATATGATCACTTCACTCCTCTCTTCACCAGGCGGGCAGCTCATTATAAACCTTTCGGTGCAATGTAGTCCAACAGTTTCCTCCGTGTGGTGTGTTCAATCTGTGGAGAGTCGAAAGTCGCTCTGCCCTCAACCAAAAACCCGAGATTAAGTTGAAACGCGTGTAATGGATAATGCCCATGTATATAAGTGAGACTTTCACGGTTCACTATGGTACTTTGGTGGCTTTAATACATGTTGTTGACTCTAGATTCGGCCATCATAATCGAGACTCCAGAAGTCCCAAGCAAGCACACGTCCGTGAGAGAGCCCAGGGGACACCTCCAGTTGCTGAAGATCGGTGATAGCAACCCTAAGTTGCCATATTCGACCTCTATCGTACACGTTCGTCATCACGACAAAGGACAAGTGGCCTGTGGCCTTTGTGTGAAAAAGGCTTTCCCGTTCAGAGCCATTTCTATTACACTCGGAGATGGCAGGAGGTATCCGATGAAGACACCGACAAACGTGAAGCTTAATTTCAATAAAAATTCCTCAGTCACTCTTGTTGGCGTCTTTTCAAGCCGACAACCCCGGCGATCGAGTAGCCATCCAAGCTTGAATATTCTTTACAGTATCAGGGTGACGAGAGCCCTGATAGAATATTCTCCATCAGGCGAGTTCAGGTCAAAATCCTATACTTTGCATTTGTGTACATGCTGGTTCTGTCAAACTAGGCGAAAGTCACTCTGGCCACGATTTGATACCATTTCATTGACGGCACTGATTCAGGATACAATCACGAGGTTTTTTATATAATCTCAACCTTCACCACTAACTATCACTCCACACAAAATCTACCTTCGTAAGGATGAAAACGACAAACGGTCCCGGAAAATAACCGATCGGTCTTGTTTCGGCATCTAGCAAGATCCTTCGATGACTGTATGGATGTAAGATGTTGTTCACTTGACCGTTTACACTCTTGTGTACATAAAAGACAGCATCAAAGTTTGTAAATCTTATAGTTATGAGGCGTGTTGCCAGAGTACCGCCCATCGGGAATGGACGTGTACATCACACACGTCTATCGATAGCAGTCTGGAGTGTAGCCGATGTAACACTAGGATCTGCAGCTCTTGCCTACAGGTACCGCAGAGTCACAGGATTTCGAGACAACACGATTGTGGGAGTCACCAAAGACGGTCAGGTGGGCTCAGCCTCCTGGCGAGAGCGATGCAACGGATGATGTGATGACATTTTCACTCCGTCAATTCACAGATATAAGTCTATATCCTCGAATATCACTACTCTTGAATCTTTGAATGCATTTCTAGATCTCAATGCGCACACTCTGATGGGTAAAATGTTCAACAATGTGTCTTCCAAGTCGGAATGATGGTGTTGATGTGTGAGAAACGTGGCGTTCAAGAGGCCGTCTTCTGCATGTCAAGCATCTATAGCAATTATGAAGTCGATGTAGCAGCTTTTTAGCTATTTCTCTCACATTGATCTTTTCGAGACGTCCTCGTCTTAGTGCTTGGGATGGCAGTGGCGTTTGGGGGAATGAGAGTTCTCATACCTAGTAGATATTTGGATGGCCTCCTAGTTCAAAGTCACGACATGATCATGGAGAAGCGCTAATAAGAGTTATTGTCGCAAATACTCGCATTGACCATGTCAAAAATATTCCGGACGATGGAACATACCACTACTAGACTACTGTAGCGCTATTTGATGGTGAAGATTTACCATATGTGTATTCATTAATTACTGGCTTCAACAAGCACTTGATAGAAATAAAATAGACTTAATAGTTATATTATGTGCAAAGGACACGTATGATTTGAATGGTTGTGCGTCGTCAATATCGACCACAGCGCAGCAAGACCCAGCGACGGTCCGTTAGTACGAATATAAAAACACAGTCATAGACACGTACACGCAAACAAATTTAAATAGGCAAATACGACGTATTGTTTGGCGGAAATTCCGCCGGCATCAGTGCCAATGGTTCGACATGATGCAGACATACAAGCTTATGACTTGAGTGCTATCAGTCGGCATAGCAGGGAAGCTGATCTGAAACTCCACCTAATAAAGTGAGAGATGGGTCAGTTAGGATACCAATAGATGTGAGAGGCGACCCGTGTTGATGTGACCAAATGTCCAATGATGACACCATCGCACCCAACAGAAAATGGATGCATCAATGAAAAATCGATCATAATATAGATGAAACATTGCAGACAAACTGAAGAGAGCATATTCATTCGCCACCAGCCCAAACGCAAATCAACCTACCAAACATTGTGGCAGCCCCAACAGAGTCAAGAAAACCTTTGGTGGAGTGTACAGACCAGCAAAATCAAACAACATTATCTATCTCTCTCTCTCTTCCCATCTCCCAGTAATGCCGGGATGCGTCGATGTCACTTCAGAAAAAAATCATGTTCCGTGTTCGTTGTTTCCACCAACATTTCGGGAGCCCTTGAAAGCGACAAAGCGACGAACGAGAGCAGAGACGCTCAACGTTCATCTACACAAAGTGAATGTCAAGATTGGCCTAATTGGCCTATATGACGTGTCTAAAAAGTAAGTTATGGTCCTGTGGCTCAGAATAATAAGCAACCAATTCTGTGGATTCGCTTGTACTTTTTACGTTTGACAGATTTGCAGAAATATGACAGGTAGGCGTTTTTTGATAGCCTGCAGCCTGCAGTGTCGCCTGTCAGAGTTGCTGCAGTTGTCGTTGCGATGAGGGGCTTGATGCCGCTTGTGGATCTGTGAATCGTGTTTTGCATTTTCGATTACCTGGTCAAACCCGAATGACCTCATCCATCAAGTATCTGACGAAGCTCATCAGATCAAACGTGAATACTGCAAGAATATCGCACGATTAAGCGGGTTTCAACTTGAAAACCGTTTAATCGTGCCAAATTCTTGCAGTATTCACGCTTATTCGTCTTCCTCTCCTTCTTTCAACACCCATCAATCGCTTAATAGTCGGCCGATTGGTGCGTGTAACTCAGCACTACTGTCTTGCGATCGCTCATGTGCATGTCGTCAGGATCTACACAATCCAGCAAGATCTATCAACGAGGGCGCCGATGGAGTTTGGTTAAAAGCAACATAAGAGGATTGTGCTCGTGTTATTTTGATGGAGCTACATCCAGGGCTTCAGGCGACAAGGCCAATGTAAATAAAGAATTAACGTATACTGGGATGAACCCATAATTTTTGTGCACACAGCAACAGAATGCTTGTATTCTACGACTAAACTTGAAATTCTACTTGTGCATTCGTGTCTGCCAGACTATTGTGAAAGCAGTCTAATAAGACACGTTCTATCTCGTCTCTGGTTGCAAGCTAAAGCCAAACAAAAAGAGAATGTCAGCGACGGCGAATGCTGTTGCCAACACAGTACGATCACTCACCTCCATTTCCCGTTCTCGTATCCTACAAATCTGCTGCTCCAAGTTCTCTAGCTGTTGCTCACATATCTGTATGTCAGCGAGATCTTTGACGTCGTCCTTCAAGATCTCGTTTATATCTAAAATGACCAATTCAACGAGAACAATGTAAGTTTCCGACTCAGTTATAAAGAGAGATCAGCATACCTCTTGAAGCAGAGCACACGCTATATGGCGTCTGCAAACGATGCAGTGACGATAATCGATCCAAATGGGTATCGATATTACCCATCCTACTTTCAATCACAAAGGGTGTCGGCAGTTCCGGTATTGGTGCGATGCTCTAAATGCAAAAAAAATCAGCCACACCTGATAGTCGGAGAATGCAACTTGATGTCGGAGAATGCAACATACCTGAGTTTTTGATGTCTCATCTGCAGCATCAGGGGTATCCGTTTCTACTTGAACCTCTGCAGCCATAATGAAATTCACGCGTGCTTTCTCATCATCAGTCATGGCTGAAAAGTATCTAGCATCAGGACCCAACTGAAAAAAGATACCTTCAGTATGTAATCATAACCGTATGAACAACCAAGACTCACAGCCATATTCCTCGTAATAAAATCTCCCGGCTCATAAGACGTGACTTTAGCTTCGACCTTCTTCCTCAGTCTCGTAGGTGGTCGTGGCGGTCTCCCAGCCTCGCCACTAGGCTCAACAGGCTCAAACTCCTCATACTCGTCATCGATGGCAGAAGATTCACTCTCAGCACGCTTCACAACAATCCGTCGTCTCCGTATTCTCAGTTTTGGTTCAGTAATGAAAGTTCTTGTCTTGGAAGCTTCATCCATTGCTGATGAAGTTATGGATTTCAAGTCTGCGCCAGCAACGGATTCCGTTTCGTCTATTGATGAGTCGTTGTCATCGTCTAGGTGGTTTGTAGGGTAGGATTCGGCTGCTTTTGCAATGTAGGGTGATGATGAGCCGGCTGTGCTTGCTCGTGCTGACGTTAGAGATTGGGCGAGCTAATAATTTTTGTGTGAGGCGAAAAAAAGCGAAAGGCGAAATCATAGCTATGCACATTTATCACAGTTATTCGTACCACCGTCTTCTCCTTAATAACAGCATCCAGCTCCTTGATCTTGGCTAAACCGTCCAGAATCTTGATCTTGAAATCCTCTTCGTCCACGGACAACTGCGAATCCTAATGTATTGAAAAAAGCACTTAGCAATTGTTATGTACCACATCTCTGGTATCTGCAAGCTAAGCTGCCAATAATGACACCTCTCAAACCACATCCCAACAATAATCAAGATGACCCACCTCCTCACTACCATTAGCAACAGATCTACACCTCGAAGCATTCTCACTAGCACACATAGATGCAATCAACGACTCATTTCCACTCTCCACAGCTTTTTGCAGAAATGTTAAATGAGCATCAGATTCCTCCTACCAGCGAAGAAAAAACCGTCGAATTAATTAAAGGGGATATAAAAATCCATCTCCAAATAAAAACTCCACACATACAATTCTGGCATCCCATTCAGCATCCTTCCTCGCAAGTTCATCCAACATTCGTCTCGTCGATTGTAGATTCTCTCGCCGATCACGTTCCAATTCCAGCTCGAATTGCTTGTCGGTTATGAGCCCGTCATCATTATCGTAGTCATCGTCGACTAGAGTTGCTGATGACGTTTGTTCGCTCAAATTTTGAGGTTGGTTTGAAGATGGAGATGATTGTCGTAGTTTGGTTGCAGCTTGTCGAGCTTTTGCACTCGGCGCGCGCTCGACTAGACTGCCCCTTGGAAGACGCAAGACTATGGGAGGCGTACTCATTTTGTGGTATGCTTGCAATTAATGTGTGCGTCCTTTTGGTGGTGGTAGATGCGAAGCAAGTTTGTGATCTCCGGAGTTTGTGACTTCATAGCCAATTACGTTTTTCTGGAAGGCTTTGCTGTAGATCAGCTAACAACACTTCTAATTTCTGCCAGGATATTTTAATATGCTACTCAACTGTTCATAAATCATTCGAACTCTCATTCCCAACAATTGTGAAACCTATTGACTGATGATTCACAAAACTAGATACATATGCACAAAAAAAGGATTTTACACAAGGAATCCATCAGAAGATTCCAGTATCTCAGCTCAAACTAGATCTCAATGTCCCGGAATCTAGGGCAACCAATCTGTGAGTTCACAGGACAACACAATCCTTGACCATATGGAACACAGAATAAGCGTTCATACTACAAAACTCACTTCGAAAGTTGGGCCGTGTAGATGGACGTACAACAAGACCGTCGAGACGAGCCAAAAACGGGTCAGATGTCCACTGGGCTTTGTGCTTGTGATATAACGCGACTGGATCATGTTTTTTGGGCTTTGTAGGCAAGGGTGCCGATGCCCGTGTCCTAGTAGTATACCGAGAGAATGCCGAGAGCGGTCTTGATTCATAGTTGGAGGGTTCATCATGCAAGATCGTTTCCTAGAGCATAGCAAAAAGAAAGAGTTAGTCCCGTATCTGGAATAGACAATCGACTTCTCGCATCCTTTCAATACCTCTCCTAATGTGGTCAGACTCTGCTCAACATCCCGTCTCCAGTCACGTCCAGAATAAGATACATCTTCCAACGAATGCAAGCTACGCCACCGTTTCTGTTCTTCTACACGTTTCTTGACACTGTTTAAATCCATCAAGTCCAGTTTACGCATGATGGAGTCTATGCCACGGTTTGCGTCATCGTCATTAGCAGGAGGTGCATTCCTACCTCGAGACTCTGATACTGGACAGACAGCGTCTGGTTTACTATCGTTATCGTTATTGCGTGGTGATGCTGCGTTAGACTGTCGAGGAGATGGCCTCTGTGGTGTAGTAATTCCTTGTTGTTGAGATGGTGGTTGATATTGCTGTTGTTGTGGCTGTGGTGATGGTACACTTGGTGGTGCTGGTGGTGGGGGAATGGGGTTTGGGTAGAGATTACTACTACGGAGTTCATCAAGCGTACTATTAGTCGGCGAGACACGTTTACTGACAGATCTAACTACCATCTCAGGACTCATTTGAGCTGTTACTAGTCCGCCATCTACAATAGATCAAATAAATCTGAGTCTGATTTCTGACAACTGTTCACACAGACGACAAACTTACTGGTTCGATAATCTGTTCCAATTCCATTCTCATGACTATCTCCACCATTCATAGCACTACCCCGATAATCATGAAACCGTTCTGACACTGGCTGCACCACCTTACTACTTTCAGCATACTCTGACTGTCGACTAGCATCATCATTAACAATGTTACTAGCCAGATCAAATTCCACATTAGCCAATATGCCATCCGATTGTATCTCACGTCTGTACATGTCTCTGAGATCCGTCATAAATTCATCAATTACAGTGTTTGGCAGATCAGCATCGTTGTAGCCCAGCTCCCGTAATTGTTCACGGACATCTTCTCGAGTTATTCGAAGGGAAGGTAGATCTAGTTGATTACTGGGTATGGTGGGGTTCGTAGTTCCTTGTTTGGCTGCTGGGACTATGGTATTAATTGGAGCATCAATAACGGCAAAAGACGACGGATTCCAGTCAGATGATAGTGATGTCGTGTCATATTCCGTAGTTTCAAAGGCATATGGATCCTGCACTCGTCCGTTCCTTCCGTCGAATCGTGGATACGCTGCCATTTGCCTAACTGCGAGTTTTTTGTTGTGTACCGAGTTGATCATAAGTAAACACGCAACCAAACACCAGGACCAAACAACAGTCACAAGCATCGAGAATAAGTATTTCATATTATTTTGGATAATGAATGCCTTTTCCCAGCAAAACGAAGCGCAAACATACAAAACTTGAAATCGACATGTGTACACTAAAATCATCTCATTAACCCCTACCAACTATTGTTGCTGCTGAAATTGAAATTGCGATTGCGCTGCCCCAGTATTCCCCATTATGTTGCCATCATCAGACAGAAAGAAGTTGTCCGTTAAAGTAGGCATCGAGTAACTCAGCACACTGCCCCCAAACCCGACACCGTACATGGATTGACTCATCATTTCTGGCTGACCAAGTCGATCCAATAGCGTAAGCGATGAATCTGGTGTTGGTGTGATTTCTGGTGTCAGAAAACCGTTTGGGTACCCGTTTCTGCTTCTGTCCCTATTGTCGTCAGTGCTACTACGATGATTTTGATTGCTGTCACTACTACTATTATTATTATGATTAAACTCGATGGGATGCTCGCACGGTGATAATGAGGATGATGGTGGTTCGGGAGTTCCAGCTAGGACATCGGGGCAAGCATGGTCCCTTAGGGCATCTTCCGTAGCAAACCTAGATTTACATTTATCACAACCAAATGGCACATGTACCATTCGTTCATGACGATACAAGTCTGGCCTCCTCTTGAAGGCCTTTTCACAATACTGACATGGATAAGGGCGGTCTGATGTATGCGATACCATATGACTCGTGAGATTAAACTTCCTTGGGAATTGTTTCTCACATTTCGGGCATACAAGCGGCTCTTTACTAGATTTTGACGAGCTATTGGATCGTACACTACTAATAGATCTACTTCGTCGTCGTGGAGTACCTATTGATCCAGCAGACCACCTTCGGGATCTAGCGTCACCAGCAGATGATGGATCCAAAAAGTCGGATGTTGCTGGAGGTATGGGCAGACTTTTTAAACTACCACTAGGAGATGCAGGTGTTCCAAATGGTGAATGCACAGCATCATAAGCATAATCTGATCCAGCGTCACTATTCCACTCCGAGTCTTCTGATGGTGCTGGTGATGGCGATCGTGAGCCTCCTGTACCATATAAAACCCCGCCGCTTCCACTTTGCGAGCCACCATCATTTGACAGGAAGCCATCCATATTTGAGAATTGTCCATACGCGTCATATGCGTCAAAGCTGTTACTATTGTTGTAGCGAGCGTTATCATTTGGATTATTTCCTTCAAATGCTGCATTCGAGTCAAAGAGTTGTGGGTTTGCAAATCGTTCTAGCATGTCATCCAATGGCGAAGGTCGAGCGAGAAGCGAGTCTGTATGCTGTTGTGGTACTACTAGTAATGGAGCGGGAGTATATAACACTGTCGGTTGCTGTAGTTCGGCTAGACTATCTGTATCTGTTGTATCCGGGGGTGATGGAGTGAGTATTATATTTGGTGACGATCCATTCCTGGTCAGAGTCCTAGCTCTCGAGTCGTGTTCCGTCCTGACTATGGAAGGTAGCATGCTAGGGAGCGTGTTTGGCCTGGATAATGTTCGAGGCCTATCAGTTGTCGGGGGAGGTAATAATACATTTTGCTGCTGCTGGTGATGTTCATGTGGGACGGGAGAAGCAGCCCTCATATTCAGAGAAGGACTATTCAGTACAGGTTCACTAGCTGAGACCTGTAGCAGCTGGTCGAGACTATAGTTGAACAAGGGTTGCTGTTCGTGCTGTTGTTGTTCGTGTTGATGTTGATGGTGATGTTGTTGCTGTTGTTCATGAGTGTTGTTGGAAGAGAATATCTGCTGGATGACCGACAGAGCCGGCAGTGAAGTATTATGCGGTAACGACTCGCTATCATGATCCGGTTTGATGATTGTGTCCCAATAGAGAGAACTCATGTTTGTGACGCCTTTGATTGAAGCATGTTATTAGTGATTGTACATAGGACAGAAGTACAAGATACATACTGTGGAATGTGGACAGCTTTGAGCACCGTCCTCCCTTTCAAAGCGTTGATACTCGGCTGGAAACGGCAGTTCGAGAGTGTGTTTGGAAATTTGCAAGACGTTGCCGTTGGACTGACGAGACGTTGAATTTAGCCTTAGGTACCGTAAGTTTGCGATGAATGAACGGTACAATACGAACTACCTGCTCGTCTAACCCGTAACGTGTCCCAAAGTCACGCTCTTACAGCAAACTGTTTTTCCCAAAGCACCAGCACGATACGACAAACAATGAACAGCAAACGTATAGTATTCCAAGTGGCGAGACTCAGGCCAACCGCCGTCATCCAACTACGCTCCGCTTCGACTCAACCTACGCCCAAAAAGGAGCAACAAGATCCCGACATATATACCGAGGAGAAGGACCCAATGGCAGGCAGGTCTGAATTCAATTCTGCACTTGACAAGCTGCTAATAACCGTTTTCGCTGGTTATAGGCATGACTGAGGCTGAAAAGGATGAAGTGCGTAGGGATCTACGCAAGGAATCACAACGAATGTTTTCATACGCTTACGGGATTATAGGAGGCGGTATGGCTGTGGCGGTAAGCTGTCATTTGCTTCTTTGCGTTGTCTGATTGAGGTTGGGAACTTGGAGCTCGTCAGTCGTGTCGTGGTTGATGCTTTTGCAATGTGGAGTATCTTTGATGTGACTTTGAGCAGGGCTCTGACCTCTTTCTCTTGTCAATTCCAGGGTGGAATCATCTTCTACAAGACTGTAAGCAAGTGATAACTCATCACAAAGTCGGGTCAATCCGAAAAGTCACTGCAGCTCAACATTGCGCTCGGAACTTTTGCTAAAAACGTCTTTATATGTAAAGTCCTCATGTATTTTTACAAGATTCCATAAAACGAAAGCTTTTCAAGAATCGGCAATGCACTTTGACTAGATCGGTGTTGAATATGTTGACGTATATTTTACAGATACTTAACTACTATTTTTGTGAGAAAGCAGCGAGAGAGAGAGTTGAGCTATTTGCTTGTGTTAGTGCGAGATTCGAGCACCCTTCAGCTTTCCTGAAGCTCGAAGGAACTCGTCCACGTTTACTACATATACACTCATTTGATCCCACAGAGGCAAAGCCTCCTCCCTCTCAAAGATCTTTGCAGATACACCAGGATTGGCTCTGATATAAGCATCTTTGCCAACAAAGTTCATCCGCTCAGCCATAGCATGCAGACGGGTATTATCTCTACGTGTAATCATATACAGATGGCGGACCGGCAATGCTCCAGATGCAGACGCATCAGCTTGTGCACGATCAATTGATCTTCGTACCAGTTCTCGAGCTAGACCCATAGATTGCATGGCCATCATCCTGGCTGCAATGTTACCGATAAAGAGTGTTCCATTGTTACGATTCCATTCAGCGAATGAGAACGCGACCGTATTGCGAGTGCCACCTGCTACGGGGATATCCTGTACTATGGTGGTACTGGTTCCTGTTGTTGTACGGCCACTACGTGTGGTCGTTGACGATTTTTCGACTACGACTTCTTCTGTTCTGTGACTAGCTTGTGCACCTCCTTTACCCTTCTTGCGAGGCGTCTTGTGCATCCATGCTACAGTAAGGTATCGTTTTAACCCCTTCTTGGCTTCTACATCTGTTCGTAGCAACGCAGCCTTCAAATCCTTCCAACTAGCCTCGAAACGATCTTGCAAATTAATAAACGTTCCAAACCGAGGCACCTCTTCCATTATACGTGGCGTGGCATACAGCGACATGACACAATCCTCCCATACAGACATACATTCACGGAATACTTCAGATTCGGTTGGGTCTGCAAACTCTTGAGCATTGAAAACTCGGAATTCTAAGGGCGAGTCACCGATTCGAATGTGTGAGAGGGAGCATGTTCTGCGACCGGGTGAGAAGAGTTCCACTGGACGGTATTTGCCTGTACGATATTTACCACCGCCACCACATTCCGTACTATCCAAAAAGAGGTTCAGTTAGATTCAGTTAGATTCACTTAGTAGATCAATTTTCCTTTTTGTAATTATGCCCTGTCACAGGTTTTACAGCTGTGGCAAATGAGCCCGAAGCTTAGCGGAACATACCAGAATCCATATTTCGTTTTACATGAGGCACATACAACCTCTACGGAAAAGTCTGGTTCGTCTACATGTTCCACTGCGTGCCCTTTACGGTGTCGTCCATCGGAACTAGGTTTGATTGAACATCAGTGTCATTGAGGGAATGTCTAGAACGAACAAAAAAGATGACACAAGGGGCGACGAATACCTTGGAAGAGCTTCCAAAGGCCTCACACCACCATTACCAAGATGTCGTTTACACACATCACACGTCAAATCCTCATCAGTACGAGAAGGACGTGCTCTCTTTTTAGACACACCACTCCCACTGCCCTCGTCACGAGAAGGAGAAGCACGTCTTTCAACACCCAAACAATTCCCACAAGTAACGTCCACTTTCACCCCAGCATCCAGCGCATATGCAGCACCTCTCAGAATCAAGGTCGCCATCCAGGTACTACATTCTTTACAATGTCCATCTTCCTCCACTACTTTTTTACGGGTATCTAGGCCACTATAACTTGCTGCTGTTACGGTGCTGCCGCGTCGAGCTGTCGATTTACGACGTGGAGTGGGTGGTCGTGGTGCTTCATCTTCAAAGTCTTCGTCGTCATCGTCAGATTGGGGCGATACACGGCGACTTGGACGTCTTGTTCGACGTGGTCGTTCCATGGTATCTCGAGCTGGTGATGCGGCTGTTTGGTTGGTTTCTTTTGATCCTCGTCTCTCTCTGGGTTCTCTAGGTTCACGAGTCTCACGAGACTCCCTGGCAGATTCACGACTTGGCTCATACTCCATCAATACATCACGTTGCTGTGGTTCAGGCCTGCTATCTGTCTTGCCTTCTACTACATGTCGAAGATGCGGTCGAGTCGTAAAGAAGAATGGGTTTGGTGCAGACAATCGACGAGGATTAATGCCAGTGCTCGTTTCACTTGGAGGTGCGTACGATCCAGGCACGAATGGATTATTACTAGAATTTACAAAGGGTGTGCTTTTAGCATCGTTGAATGTGGCTAGTATATGGCGAAGTGGATCTTCGGTTGCTATAGACGCTCGACGATGTGATGCTGCAGCTATGGTTGATGTTGTTGCGGGAGCCAGGTAATGGTGATGTGGGGCCATACTATCACTATTGGCTAGCGCCATAGATGACATTTGCATGTCTAGACGTTCAGATGACGATTTAGTCGTGACCCCTTCAGGCGGTGTTGACGCATTGTCATAACTATTCCATTGGTTGCCATCATATAAAGCTTCCATAGATACGTCCAGACCAGCAGACTCGGCAACAAAGAAGAGCATATTATCCGAGTTCTCTTCCTGATCGTCCAGACCAAACGCATCGAGCAACAAATCCTTTTCTTCAGCTGACTTTCTTCTAGATATTTCAGAAGCGAGTGCTGGATGCACTCGAAACGACGATATATCAAATGTGTCCGACACATGATTGTCTATAGTTTCTTGCTCGATGCATGTGACTATTACTTAAGGTTGAAGGTCAGCAAAAAGTGTTTTCACAAGGTGGTTTGGAGCATAGTCAATAAGCTCTAGCGAGCCATTGAACTAATCGCACCGCAACAAAAGTAGTCGATTTCAAGCAATCGATCAACATCACATCTAATTGGATCTCGTCCAAAGTCTTTTCACGGGCGGTGTTTGACACTTACCATTTTCAGGATTAGTATTCAGTTCTTGCAAGATTTCGGACTGCAGAGCTTGGATTTCAGCCTGCTCTTTTGCCAAAGAGTCTTCAGCTTCTCGAGCTCGTATCTCTTCTAATTTGGCAAACTTGGCCTCGTTTAGAATACGAATGACAAGCTCCAAATGCTGTGGATTCGTTTTCGATGTGTGCTGCAGCAGTGTCATATCGGGGTTTGAGAGACTGAATTTAGGACCATTGGAAGCTGGATTGGGTAGACTGCTAGCTTCAGTGGCCATTGCTCGCCCGTCTTGGTGGCACACTGTTCGATTGCACTTTGGTCAATCACGTTTTTGTTTTTTTTCTACTTGTTTGATGGAGGAGAAAATCACTTGCAAGCCAAATTGTAGATGATTTGACACTAATCCTGAGCAATTCCCCAACTCTCCTTACCCTCTGCTAGCTGGGAATGAGAAATTCGTTTTGGAGACACCTACATGTGACCTTGGGCTTACAAAGCGTATATCTCTGACGTTATTTATGTGGTTACCACACGAATGTTAGGCGTTTCACGATGGTGGAAGCGACGAAGGAGTGATAATTGTGCACTCACGCCAAATACCTGCTACTTTTCACAGTTTTATTGAAGCTGCAACCACCAGAACTCGCTCAATCTTCACGTTAAGGTTTTTCCTCGGCGGATTCAATCTTTTCCGCATAGAATGTCACAACGATTCGAAAAACAAAGCCAAATGGAAGAATTCTTCGGTGTTGCGGTGTTGTATATGTACTAATAAAAAGCAAGACAAATGCGACGAACGGACGATTATGAGGCATCACTGATGGCATGAGATATATCCGTATTTCCTACGGATTCGGATGGGGTAGCTCGTATAGTCTCGGGAGTTTGTTGGGTAGCAGGCTGTTCTAATGGCTCGGCATTTTCGAATTGAGGTGCAGGAGCAGTTTGATCGGGAGCAACAGTATCCTTGATTTCTGCATCAACAACAGCATCAAACACTTCTTCTTCTTCTTGAGTAGGCATAGGTAGGACTGGAGGCACGACACGTGTCGGAGAGTCCGAATCGAGCTTGAACGATTGATCAACACTATTATTCAACATCTTGGCATTCAATGCTTCGTGATCACGTCCTTCCATGACATCGGCATATCGGGAATGTGTGTCTGGGGATTTCACACGCTCTTTGATTTGAGGTAGTGCTGTTGTGTTGAGTCCGGCTTGAGTGCTTGTGTTTGCCATGGTGCTTGACTGGGACGGTAGCGGCTTGTTGATTTTCGTGCAGTCATATACGGTGAACTTGTTTTCCATGACCATTAGTTCCTTCACTATTGCTGGATCTTCACCTTCCTTGACTGATACGTCGATGATGGATTTTTCGTTAGTGCTTGTTGATACCATAAAGTATGTCTGCACACTACATAATATCACATACCTTTAAGAGCTTCAAGTTCACCATTCTTGTTCTTCTTTCTTGGTTTCACCTTGAGTGGGTTGTCTTCTAGCAGCAATTCTTCGAGTTCGTGAGTGGCATCAAAGTTGGCCTTTTTGGAATCTGGAACGAATGGTGCATCTTCTTCCTTCTTTTGTAACTTTTCCCAATTTAATTTCTACAAAATATATCAAAAGTCAGCCATGAGCCAAAAAACACTATGGTGAGATAGATCAATACCTCAAACCACGGATGAGCTCTGAATGTAGCCAAACCGCCATTCTCAGCTGATCCCATTCGCTGCGATATGTCACGGGTAATCATGCCTTTCAAAGCGTCTATGCCAATCTCCGAAAGTGGAGTTTGAGACATGTCTGCAGGGAAGATTAATGCGTCACCAAGAATAGCTGCTTGAAGCGCTTCGTTGGTTTTTGCTCGGAATGGACGCTAGAAGGTGCAAGATTCAAAAGAAATGTTAGATGTGACTGATCGATGCGACGTCGGTGTATTATTTTTTAGCTTACCCTTCCAAAAGCGAGTTCGTATAACATTACACCTAAACTCCACCAATCGACAGATGCAAAGTATCCCTTCTTTGCCAATATTTCAGGAGCTAGGTGTTGGGTTGAAAGTGTGAGTTTCTCAGCAAAGGACCAAAAAGGTAGCTGATTCCTGAATCATGGCTGAACATACCCATATATGCCATAGAACCAGCTACAGCAGTTAGTGGCTTATCGGGCTTGAAATGTACAGCAATGTTGAAATCTGTCAAATGGGCATGACCCTTCTCGTCCAATAGAACTACAGACAAAACGACGATGTTATAATCACGCTTCATATATGTCAAACGGATGTCGCCTCCAACTCACCATTATCAGGCTTCAAATCACGATGAACTATGCGCTTAGAATGTAGATAATCCAGAGCGCAAGCAATCTCAGCAGCATAAAATCGAACCATATCTTCCTTGAAACATCCCATACGATCCAAATGGAATCGTAAATCACCTCCCAACATTAAATCTAGTATCATGAATAGATTCTCATCGTCTTGGAAGGCGAATCTCAAGTTACTACGCGAAAAGATTTGGGGTTTGTGTGTTTAGCGACAAGAGTGAAGGGAAAAAAAGAGTGAGAAATAATGTACGTGTGAACAACCACATACCACACAAAAGTACAATTGATTTCCTCCAACAGCCTCCTCTCTTGCACGATATTCTCGACAGCCTTCATCTTTATACATTTCGACTTGTTGATGTATTTCAGAGCATAGATTTGGTTTGATCCTTTGTGTTGAACTACTCGAACCTGCGAACAAATAAGACAACAGCATCAGATATCGAACGATTCTATAATTCGACGAAAAATCCTGAGCTCCCACATACTTTTCCAAAAGCTCCCTTGCCGACTGAACGAAGCAACATAAAGTGATTCAATTCGACTGAAAAGAATCACACAAGAGTGTTAGATCATTCACCACGACACGTCACGTCTCAAGCGTCAATATTGCTGACACTGCATACCTTCAGCAGTGAAATCAATCTCCTCCTCCTTGCAACATGCGAGGCCCATATTTGCAGAGCGTCAATTAACACGATTTCTAAAAGAGCTTCAATAAAGCTAGTTCCTTGTCCTATATTCTAAATTCCAAAATGATCCAGCTAATAAAAACGTGATGTGTGTTAGCAGAATACAAGTCTCGGCAGTTTCCCTCGAAAAGCTTCAAATGTAGGCAATTGTGGTCAATCTCATCCACTGATCGGTCACTGCTAGCATCTCGGGTGGCTTTAGTGTATCCATACCTTTGATATTTGCTTCTCTTTCGATCAAGTTGGTAAAACAGCAATATGCAAAATTAGCAAATTGCACCAACAACGAAAAGGAGGTGTCGATCCTCAGTTCACTTGATTAAAACGTCAAACTGCGAGACAACTATCCACGAGAATTATTTTGATTCAAAGGTTCCTCTCCTGATTATGTGCTGCTACAGACAAATTACTTTGAATCTCTCCGGAAAATTTCGACCTACTGTGCGTCGGGAGTAGTCGAAATCGCAGTAGATAAAAAATTGACATCACGAGTTTTTAAATAATAAGGGCGTTCTTTTCAAATACATTCGATTTCAGACTGCTATATAGATTTTTTGCATCCTCGATCTGTTTACGAGGTCTCGTCCAGGAATTTAAATATAATGCCATGCTTGGTAGCAAACTCTTTGACACAAGAGCGACATATACCAGCAAAAGCGGTCAATGATGTAGCGCAATTAGGTTCTCCTTCACGACTCATGGTATCTGGAAACTCATCTACAATGAAATATCGTTATGAGCAAAAAATACCAGATGATACGCAGTGACAGCTCTGAGTACCTTTCAGCTTTGGACATGGCCCTTCCCACGTATCCCACTTATCAAATAACGCAAGCATATACTTGGCACCTTCAGTTACCGCCTTCAAATGACCTTCAGGAGCAGCAGAACTAGTAGCATTCGATGTTGTTGTTGCATCAAGAGCAGCGCTAGCTTTTTCAAGTCCGCGTAGACCAGACTTGAATGCCAATATCGTTCGTCGGGTACGAAGTAAACCAGCAGATCGTGTCAAGAGTCCAGCTAACCCAAGCAGTGATTTATCATGACCTCTTTCCTTCTTTTCCTTGTCCTTTTCTACCAGTATAGTGACGAAGCCCTTGATATCAGCTACACCTCGTAGCGTTTCTATCGCATCATTCATCATCTTTTCCACTTCTTTGGTGGCAGCGGTAAGTTCCAAATCACCAATACGCTTCATAATTACGGCAGCTGCTGCAATGTAATGCATAGCGCTTTCAGCGTAATTCGAATCTTCTTTGGCTCCATCACCAAACAGTTTATGCTTTCTAAAAGGATCATCACCCTTAAATTTGGATGAGATACTACGAGATGCTAACACAGGTGAAGCTATTATACTCTCTGATGGTTTTGTTCGAGCAGGTGTGGTAGGCTCTGCTGAAGGTGTTGTAGTACTGCCATTAGCATTGCCAGGAGCCAATGTCGTAGTGTCTGCTGGACTGGCTTTAGATCCTGTATCAGATACGGATTCCGGTGATGTCGTTTCCGTGGGAGTATCTGTTGGTTGTGTTGTAGAAGCATTCTTTTGAGCTGAATATTCCTTCATACTACGGAATTGTTTAGGTTTGGCTGGTACCAGAGGTAGTACCGGCGATGATACAGACTGCACTTCCTTTTTGACTTCCTTGAGCTCTTTGATTACATTTGGTTCTTCTTTTCCTCTGACGCCTCCCGTGACAGCCTGCGAGTTTCTGGAAAGCTCTCTATTCGAATCTCTAGTAGACGATGATGACGACGATGGAGGTAGAGGAGCTGGACGGAAGGGTGGTACTGTACGTGATGGGACAGCAGGCTTCTCGATAACCGAAGGAGTAAACCCCGATTTGTCTCCCTTTTCACCATTACCACGACGATCATCTCTTCTATCAGCATCTCTCCTATCACCATCCCTTTGGTGCCTGGATCCATTACCATCATCACTACGGGGCACATTATCTCTGTCTCTTCGAAGAGGAGTGGAAGCACGTTCTCGACCTTTGGTATCACTATCCCGTCTGTCTCGATCTTGGTCGCGTCGATCATTATTATCATTACGTCTACTAGTACTAATGTCATCAATAGACGGTTTTCGAGGTGGTATATATGTTTCTTTCTGGCGTCGAGGTTCATCACGACCAATTCTCGAACGACTTCTATCACGGGTATTTCTATAATACCCTCTGTCATCTCGATCACGTCGATCATATCTAGCATAGTCACGACTTCGGTAGGAGTCTCTACTTCGACTACGACTACGGCTATACCTTGTTCGTCTGTCTTTGTATCGTTCACTACTTCGATCTCTACTTCGAGAACGACTTCGAGAGATTGAACGTGACCTCCTCCGCCAACGACTTGCTCGACCATCGGTATCTGCAGAGCCTGCTGACGTGGCACGTTTCCTACGAGTACTATCTCGAGACGATGAACGACTTTTACGACGTTGACGGGTCTTATCAGCGTTCGATTTACGGGACGAGCTATCATCGTTTGTTTTCTGCGATGGGGCATCATGAGTATCCTTTGCTGAATTCTGTGAGAGCTCTATTGCATCCTCGTCCTTGACGGGACGAGACGATGGTGGTGACGACTCTCGTGATTTGGCCTTCTTGTCACTTTTAGATCTGTGTTTCTTACTAGGTGAAGTATCTTCATCCGCATGATGACTAGATTTCTTCTTCTTTTTCTTCTTCACTTTGTCCTTTGGTCTGTCATCAGGATCTCTATCACTATCCGATCCTCTACGTTTCTTTCGTCTCTTGTCATCATCATCCTTATCTGGTCTTCTGGTCTTCTGGTCTTCTGGTTGTTTTGAAGACGGCTTTTCGTCTGACTTCTCCTCGTTCTTTGGCGCATCATCATGGCCAATATGATCTGCATTGTGTGGATTATCAGACTCTCTCTTTACTTCATTTATCAGGAGAGAAGGCACTGGTTCCGAGTGTGAAGGCGGTATCTCTGGTGGTATTGAAGATCTACGAGTTGGCACCGCCGTCGACACGTCGTTCCCTGACGGTTGACTTTCTGCTATCTCCACCTTTTCTGCAGTATCAACCTTGACAGTTCCCATAGACTCAGCCTTGACGCTATCGATAGGATTGCCGACTACAGGCGGATCTATGGGTGCCTCGTCAACAGGATTTACCCTTATATCTACCATGCCCTCTGTTTCATGCTTAACTTCCTCAGCGACCGCATCTGAAAAGATGCCGGCTTTTTGCCTCCTTAAATCTTCTGGTAATACTAATGGCTCTCTTGAAGCAGGAGGAGTATTCTTTACTGAGACCATTCGCTTCTTTTTGACCCGATGATGTGTCAAATGGCTATTTTCCAAGGGACGTTTCTTGGGTATCGTAAGTGATGGTATCAGCGGTGCCAAGTCTGAATGATATTGTATGATCTAAACAAGAGAAATAGAGCGTTCACTACAAGTGGGATGAAAGCAATAACAATCAAGCAGAACGTACAATTTGAAGACATTGACTCTTGTTGATGATTTCATCCGACAATTCAGACTTTGAATTCACATCAGCTGCATCCTTTATATCATCATGAGAAGAGGAACGTCCATTAGGGACTGGCTCACTGGGTTGCTTTGACCTGTCTCGTGATGATAGAGCGGAGGTTTGATGCTGCATACCAACCAGACCTAGACCATTCGCAGTTCCATTACTATGATGATTGCGCTTTGGCGGAGGAGCTCTCTTGACACGATGATGTTCTATAGGGCGTTCAGGAGTAGGTTTCCCGAGATCTCTCCTTCTCCATTCAGCAGCAGAGACGTGCGGACCATCGTAGAAGACAGGGGGTGGTAGAAATGTAGCAAAGTCTGGATTATTCATTGGTTTTGAGTATGTTAGAGCATTACGGAGTCGACTCAAGTTCGAATCAATTTCTGGATCTGCAAGAGTCGATACAGCGTTGCGTATAGCGGGCTTTGGTGAGGAAGAGATTGAAGGCGGTGTTGGACGCGGACTGGCACTACGATCTCTGGCATCTACTTTGAGTGGCATCGTTGAATGTTCGACCGAGTGATAATTGCCCAACATTGCCGAGGACGAGATGCTGCCTAATCCAAAATGCTCGGAAGTAGCGAGAGAAGTGCTGGCCATGTGCATGTGCAGCCGCGACACGATAGCTTCTAGTTGCCACCAATTACCCCGTTATCTCTCGTCAAGACCCTCGTGAAATCTGTTGGAAATGAGAGTAGTTCAGCTGCCTGTCGAGTTTTTCCATGCTTGTTTGTTTTTGATTTTGGATCCTTGCAAGACCAAGTTGAGCACCCAGATAAGTCGCTTACCTGTTCCAGATTGCTCCTTGTTGACCTTTACTTTCGGCGAAAATGTTGATGTGACGTTGACTTTGGTGCCAGAGACAACTGATGCTGCTGTTGGAAGGGAACGGACAGACAACTCGCCAGTTCGTTATTAATAATAGCCACGATTAGATCTGCAGAGTAATAAGTAATACCGCTGAAAAGTCCTTGCAATGCCCCACAAAACGCGACACGAATTTCCCGAGCTTTTAACGCTTGTGCTGTTACGCGTCTCTATACAGATCTATCTTCAGTTTGGAACGGAGTTTCGAGGTACGAGACATGTTCTTCATCTCCCTGTCGTCGGGATTCAAGCAACTGTTGTTGGTTATTATAGTAACTTCGCTTCACACTTGGAACTTTGAACCAACCAACGTCCTGCTACCGCTCATAGTAAATTAGCAGTAGATATGCTCGTTCAAGACATGAGCAAGTCCAACAGTCAACCATTGGCTCCTCCAACAAAGAAACTAAAGGGAAAAAATGGGGATGCAACTGTGACAAAGTCGTCTTGGGAAGAACAATTGGAAGCACTTCATCAACAGTCTACTCCTGGTTTGTACCCTATCACTATACTTGTTTATTGTTGCTCATATCTTGCAATGCATTCCTCATCATCCTACTGAAATCAAACATCTTGTTCAAAATCACAGGCGAGAACTATGAAGCTGCTTGGCCAAGACCTGCTCTGCCAAAGATTGATAAAGATCGTGATTCTATCGGTATCAGCCATTACAATGAAAGATCTATTCTAGATCAAACTCGCTAACACCTCCTTGTTGCTCAAACAACACAGTCTTTCAGCAAATTGAAATTGATGAATATGTGGGCGATTCCCCCCCTTACGTCAAACTTCCATTACCACCAAACTGTCCAACTCCAATCATTCGAATGTATGGAGTCACCATGGTATGTGGATACCGGCTGAAACTAGAGCTCACCAATTTGTGCACAGTCACCCCAACAGTACTCCCTTTTCAAAACCCATAACAAACCAAATCTTTGCTCTTATAGGCCGGTAACAGTATCATGGCCCACATTCACGGATTCTTCCAATACTTTTATTGTCCTGCTCCGAAAGGATTCGAACCTGTAAATATTGACAACTTCAAGGATGCCCTGCTCTTGTTCCTACGATCAAACGGCAAAGTTCCTGCAGGTCCCGTAATCATGAGAGTAGAAATGGTCTTGAGAAAATCTATCTACGACTATCATGGTCCTCATCCATCACCATTCTTACGAATCATGGTACAAACACCAAACATGATCAACGCTTGTAAACGAGCTGTCGAAGCAGGATTCTACGTATCAAACTTTGGTGACTTCAAAGTCGGTGCAGTGTTTGAATCAAACTTGGCATACACTTTACGTTTTATGATTGATCAAGCTGTGCTTGGTGCAAACTGGATTGAATTGCCTGCTGGAACCTACACGATTCGAGACAAGAAGAGTTGTCACTGTCAATTAGAAGTAGACATTCTGTATGTGTCTTGTTGTGTGTGTGCTAGGATTAGCAGATAATTTTGGGGATTGACCTGTTTGGGGATTTTGGGGATTGACCTCTTTTTCGCTAATTCAGATTTGACAAGTTTATATCACATGCTCCAGAAGGCGATTGGAGTCATGTTGCTCCTCTTCGTATTCTGAGCTTTGATATTGAGTGTGCTGGGCGAAAGGGCCACTTCCCTGAGCCAAGTGAGGATCCCGTCATCCAAATCGCAAACATGGTATCGCTTCAAGGTAATGTAGTTTTTATTTCGGGAATAAAGCATTTTTGTCGATTCTTGGTCGCTGAAACAATTTTCCATGCAGGTGGCTCGAGACCTTTCATCCGTAACGTGTTTACGCTCAAGAAGTGTGCCAAGATTGTGGGAAGTCAAGTTCTGTCCTTTGAAAGTGAAGCTGAAATGTTGCATCGATGGACAGAGTTTGTCTTGCAGGTAAAAAAGCCAAGATTGGACTGATCACAATTGTCGTCCTATCAACCAACGACTGCCACTGTAGGTTGATCCTGATATAATTACAGGATACAATATCAATGGTTTTGACTTTCCTTATCTTCTGGATCGAGCAATCAAACTAAAAGCATCTCGCTTCCCGTATCTGGGTCGCATTCGAGGTATCTTTTCATGTTGCGCACTCTCGATTTTGTTTCCTTTCCTCTCTTGAGACCTCTGCTTACCCAAATCGTTCACAGATGTCAAGACCATTGCTAAGGATGCTCACTTCCAGTCTAAGGGATTGGGTGCTCGTGATTTGAAAAACATCAACATTGAAGGACGATTGCAACTAGATGTCTTGCAGGTTATGCAAAGAGACTACAAGCTACGTTCGTACACGTTGAACTCTGTATCCGCTCATTTTCTTGGTAAACAGATGATCGTCTTTGATCTTTTCAACTTCCTCGATTGCTAATCAAAATCTGAACACAGGTGAACAAAAGGAAGATGTCCATCATTCCATAATTGCAGATTTGCAAAACGGTGATGAAGAAACCAGACGACGTTTAGCAGTTTATTGTCTCAAGGTGAGTTCGCCCCATGTGTTTGAACAGCGTGAATCATACTTATATTCAGAATTGGGATTTAGGATGCATACTTGCCTCAACGATTACTGGACAAGCTCATGATTCTCATCAATTATATGGAAATGGCTCGTGTGACGGGTGTACCCTTCAATTACCTTCTGACTCGTGGACAACAAGTTAAAGTTGTTTCACAATTGTATCGTAAAGCCAGGACTGAAGATCTTTTGATTCCTACCATGCATTCTGAAGGTGAGAACTTTGGAATCTGCTGCTCAGCAAAAAGAAAACTCTCCTGACTGGATTCCTTTCAGGTTCTGAGGAGCAATACGAAGGAGCCACCGTCATTGAGCCTGAGAAGGGCTTTTACGAGTTGCCTATTGCTACACTCGATTTCACGTCTTTATACCCATCCATCATGCAAGCTCATAACTTGTGCTATTCGACACACTTGCAAAGTGTTCGAGATGCTGAAAACTTTGGGCTGGTTAGAGATAAGGACTTTATTGTGACTCCCAACGGAGGTATGATTTACCCCACGTCGTTTTTGTTATCTCAGAAGTCGAAATGATAGGTTTTTTGTGGCATTTTCGAAAGTCGCATGAAGGCTGACCCACAATTCCTCAAATCTAGACGTGTTTGTGACTGCCACTGTCAAGAAGGGATTGTTGCCTACCATTCTTGAAGACTTGTTGTCTGCTCGTAAGAAAGCCAAGGATGACTTGAAAAAGGAGACCGATGAATTCAAGAAGGCTGTATTGGATGGTCGTCAACTTGCTCTCAAGGTAAGACTCACAACAAAAAAACTGTTCCCAAACTGCTTAAACCTGCTCTCTACAGGTCAGTGCCAACTCTGTATATGGGTTTACTGGTGCTACAGTTGGTAAACTGCCCATGTTGGCTATATCGTCCAGTGTAACGGCATACGGTCGTGAGATGATTGAAAAGACTAAAGAGGTCAGATGCTGCCTTGGCGAGGATTTTGCATTATCTGGATCCCCCTCTTCCCCTATGTACTTACGCAAAGTCAATACAGCTCGTGGAAGCCAACTTTACGGTGGAGAAGGGATACGATTATGATGCCAAGGTTATTTACGGAGATACCGATTCCGTCATGGTCAAGTTTGGTGTTTCAACAGTGCCAGAAGCCATGGAACTGGGTATGTGCTTGAATGTGTCTGAATTGATATAATTTGGTTTTGACGCCGTAATGTTTTGTGTGTGTTGCAGGTCGCAAGGCTGCTGCAGAAGTCACTAAAGGATTCAAGAGACCAATCAATCTTGATTTCGAAAAAGTGTACTTTCCTTATCTTCTCATCAACAAGAAGCGATACGCTGGTTTGTATTGGACCAAACCTGAGAAGTTTGACAAGATGGATGCTAAGGGTATCGAGGTAAACTCGGATCATGGTTTTCGTCTTTCACTGTTCACTTGCCACTTTGGCTTTACCCAATCGCATGATATATGTAGACTGTTCGACGTGATAACTGTGAATTGGTCAAGACTGTTATTGACACATGTCTCAGAAAGATTCTGATTGATCGCGATGTTCCTGGTGCTCAAGAGTGAGTGATGTGCTGAGTTTCTGGATTTTTCCATTTGACTGACTTCAGGAAACTCACTGGGAATCGATTCATCCAGATTCACTAAAGGGATGATTGCCGATCTACTACAAAACAAGGTGGATTTGTCACAACTTGTGATCTCTAAGGCTCTTGGTAAAGCTGGTATGTATTCGTGGTTTGCGCCTATTGTTGGATTGAAGCTGCGAGTTATTCACAATGTTTTTGTTTGAAGAATATGCTAGCAAAGTAGCTCATAATGAGTTGGCAGAACGTATGCGAAAACGTGACGAAGGTAGGCATTGGGATTCATATACACTGGTGTCTCTATGCTCTTTTTTCACCCTCCGCCAAATCCAAAACAGGTTCTGCACCGGCATTGGGAGATCGTGTCACTTATGTTATCGTCAAGGGAGCTGTTGGAGCTGCTGCTTATGAAAAAGCAGAAGATCCCATTTATGTCTTGGAACACAATATTCCCATTGATACCAAATACTATCTTGAAAATCAGCTCTCAAAGCCATTGATGAGGATTTTTGAGCCAATTCTTGGTGAACGGGCACAGAGTCTTCTATGTGAGTATCTATGTTCATTATGCGTGTTGGAAATCTGTTTTTCTTTCTGTTTTTGACACCAACGCGTACAACAGCAGGAGAACATACTCGAACGATTTCCATTGCTGCACCAACTACTGGTGGGCTTATGAAGTTTGCTATTCGAAGTTTGACTTGCCTTGGATGCAAGACCCCTTTGCCTAAGAATGGTGCGTTACATCATGGTTTTGTCTCAATGTGTTGATTCCCATTCTCACATTCTTTACTTGAGTAGAAACGGCAGTATGCAGAGAATGCAAGCCTCGAATTCTAGAACTGTACTTGCGTCAAATGGACGCGGTCAATGATATGGAGACACGATTTGCTCGTCTCTGGACTCAATGTCAACGATGTCAAGGTTCACTACACCAAGATGTTATTTGCACGTCGGCTGATTGGTATGTATTTTGTATTCAGATCTGTCTGAGTTGTTGAATACTCATGATCTATTTCACTAGTCCCATCTTCTACATGCGAAAGAAGGCTCAGAAGGATGCAAAAGATTCACACACTACGCTTGACCGATTCCATTACAATTGGTGAAGATGTATATACAGCGGTTATGTATATTAGGATCTCCATAGTTTTTGTGTTTATGTACAATAGAACATATTGGGTCATCGCATATCTTCCTGCACTTCGCGCTAATCACACTTGATGCCCTTTCCTGACAAGTTCATTAATGTTAACAGCTATAGAACCCGCGGAACCCACGAATGGAATGGAAAACACTGATGTTCCATCTTCTCCGATCCCGGCACGATCAGCAGAAGCTATGAACGGGAAGAAGCGTGCTAGAGAATTTGAACCCAATTTTACGTCGCAAACCAAGTACCCAAAACATGATACAGATTGGAAGACTATATTCGGTACGTGATTACATGGCATTTAAGCTGCTGGATCTAGTTGTTTCGTTGTCTGTGTGTCTTCTAGCTGGACATCAGTTTGGATTGTTGTGAGTTTGGAAGCACAGCTTTCCAGCGTCACTATGAAGGGGATCAGATCCAGAATGATATTCTGACTCCGTGAATCATCGTATCAGTCCAACTAGAGCTTTTGAAACTAACACCCAAAAACTCGACTTAGCTCACACAACAAACAAGGTCATGAATGCTCAACAACAGAAACGAGAAACCCAACCACCTCCGATAAACAATGACATTCTATCATGCCACAAGTGTAATTCCATAACATCAATTGACGTTTGTCGGGATTGTAGTAAACCAACATGTGAATCATGTCTTGTGAATTGTGGTTCTTGTGGAGAGCAGTTTTGTTCAACTTGTTCAACGACCAAGTAAGTTTGGGAAAATGTATCCTGGAAGACTTGTGGAACTTACAATTGTCTTTTGTTACAAACAGTTATGATGAAACCTATGAACGAGTCTTTTGTTACTCGTGCAATGAAGTGAACGAGACAGCCAACAACTCGAATTAATTATTTAATATATACGTGATGACGAGGAAAATGTAAATCGAACTGTAAAATAACGATAATATCGCATTCCCATTTTGGGTAACGATACATCACCCATTTGCGCATCGAGTCCGGGTCAGACAGCATCTTTAGAAGTTCAAAATTGCGCGAGATCTATGTATTTAGGTACGGATATTGCGATCATCATGACGCGGTTCGAAAATTGCAAGCTTGAAACATTCCGCCGTGTGGTCGTTTTTGGTCGTTTACAACAGATCCAGCCAAAACTGACTTTCCAGTGGTAATTCTGTTACAAATTTCTAACAACGTATCTTCCTGACTGTTTTTAGAAGCCGTTCTGGCATATGGTCTCCCTAATTTTTGGCCCGTTTTTTTTGGCTCATACATTCTATTGGGATTATAGTCCCGCAAATTTACGATTATTAAAACACTTCAAACCCACTAAAGTTGCTATTTGCTCCCCTTATGTTACTGGATTTAAGTTTGCGTCAGCCCCTCAACTTAGTTGGGACCAACCACCTCCCCTATTTTTTCGCCCGGAACGGATCCTTTATGAGGGAGGCAAAATGTCCAATTTTACGCATATTTGAATTTGGGCTGTATACTCATCCACCGTGCGAGATAGCTCAGTTGGAAGAGCGGTGGGCTCATAACCCACAGGTCGATGGATCGAAACTATCTCTCGCTATCCTTTTTTGAGGCGTTGAGGGTGTGGTTTCGGTGTTCTGGCGTAATGAAAGAACCAGCGTTTTTGATTATGTCATATTTTGATACGAGATTTGGACTCTTTGACTTATTTAACAGCATGAATTGCTAAAGAAAATTGTTAAAGAACTATTTTGGAAATAGTTTCTGTGGTAATTTTGACGGTGCTTTGGAGTAGTTTCTGGTATATGATGATGCGAAACTGGGAAAATTACGTAAAGCTGGACTTTTATGTAATAATTTGAACGTTCAAACCCGTTATTTCGAAGTAGTAGAACAAGTCCTGGGTGTCAGCATTTCACCCAGTGTTTTCCTCGTCTCGGTCGTACCTGATTTTTGACTCGACGAAACCGAAGAAACTGAACAAATGGTGCTAGCTCACGAGCGCAAGCTGTGAAAAATGTAGCATGAGGAGCAAGGACAATATGCTTAAATGAGATCTTATCATGATATTTCTGTAAGAAGTGCAAGTACAAGTGATTTATAATATACTCTATACACGCTAGGACTGCCCCAAGAGGATTTGCTCCATCGCTGCTAATAACTGCATTCTCTCGTTTTCTGCTTCTGATGTATCGTTTGGAGTTTCGGCCTAGGTTGGGTTAAAAAGGTCAGCTCTTCGAAAAGAATGAGAACGCTACATCGTGGCTTACTGTGGCGACAGCGAATGCGACGGAAGACGGTGTACAGGCAGGGATGCCCCCATTGGACCAGATCCTCTTGTGGGAACAAATTCGGTAAACTTCAACCAAGTACATCATAAGCATGCATCTGTAAAGTCAAACGTGGTAGGGATGTGATTTGAGTACACATTTTGATTCAAGATGCCTCCCCATTGTTGACTTTACCCATTGTTGGCTTCTTGAGAGCTGCTGGATGTCAAAAGAGGACGAGCAATCTGCTTAACAGTATCATCAGTAGCCTCTGGTTTCAGTCTGAGTATGGTGCGCAGGCTAGAGGCCAAAATCTTCCTCATATAGGTCAATTAAAACATATGGCTATGACGAGTAAATCATAGTTAGACTCGATTATTGTGGAGACGGAGAGATGCGAGAGGGACCAAATACGCACTGTCTGGACTTGGAAGACTTTCAAGTAGGTTTCTGGATCGCCATGCTTCGACCGAGGCTTTTTCAAAGAAAGCGTGCTGTGAGACAGAAGGAGAAGAAAATGTGCTTTATAAACCACAGCGATTCAAAAGTTTGCGTGCTGTACAGTCTTTGGGTAGAATGTTGACATGTACAGCTCCTTGTGGAGTGCGTTGTTGAAGAGTTGGCTTTGCCGAAGCCTGTTGCCTCCGGTTCCCTTTGGTGAGTCTCCGGTGTTTTGATAACTGCTGGTACCGGAGATGGAGCAGGCCAAGTCTTGGAATTCAACACTTTGACAACGCTGTCCAGCTTCTCAATCCTACGATCTAGATCCTCGAGTTTTTTCAATCTAGTGACCGAACAAACTGTGAGTTCTGAGGCTTGATGCACCTTCAATAATATTCTCTCATTGCTCACGATGCATTGCAAACCCAGCGGCCATCATTTCCAACTGTTCCAAGATTTTCTCGGTCGAAGCGGATTCCTAGAGGGACTCGACAGTCAGAATAACGAAAAAATCGGTACAAGAAACTATTGAAGACGCTGATCTGTTGATCTGTTGAGAAATACCTGGGCTCTCTGTCGTTCTTTCGCCAGAACTTGTTTATCCTCTTTCAGCTTGTAACAGCCAGCTTCTTCCCAGGCCGGTCGTCTTGGCGGGCCGTGGATTACTTGGCTCTACATAGGCATCGTCTGGCCGTCCTCTTTTCAGCATGGCATTTTCTTTATCACCGTGATGAAGGCGTCTGGACAATTCGTTGGAGTGGCGAAGCGTTGAATATGGAGGGAAACAGACGAGAGACCGGACTCAATACGTGAAGCTTACATACGTGCACCCATTGTGGCCGGTTTCTAACAAGGTGGAAGCTAGGATTGACGTGTTCTCAACGCTAATCTGTGAAGGTCGGTCATACACTCACCATAGCGAAAACCCAACACACTAACTGGATGTCGATTTCAAGTTGAATCGCTATATGATCTGTATAGTTCCACTGGATTTGAAAAAGTGTTTGTTTTATGCTCAGGTCCTTTTGCTATATTGAACATTTGCTCGAACGCTAGAACTCGAAAGATACAAGTATCTTTGACCAGCTCAACCTTCTTGGCGGTGACAATCAACAACAGAAAGATGGTCATCGTATCTTAGCGGCTGTTGTGATTAAATTGGTCGTACTTGTAGTCGTTTGGTAGTAAACCTCAATGTGGATAGTGCCGAGGATTTTATGCACCGCATTGAGCTCTCTGAGTGATGCGACATGGTTTTCTGGTGGTGAAAATGGGTCGCTTCTTATACATTCAATGTTTCGTGTGTGCCAAAGACTCGATCTCATTCGAATGAACCACAGACGCGAACATCCAGTGTCAGCATGTGATTCAATGAAATAATTAATACATTTATTCAACATAGACAGTGTACATGGTGGTATGGATCTTCTCACTGATCAGTTGAAGATCAGTTGAAATCAAAACGTTTTGACATTTCACGTATAAGTGACTTTCTCTTCTGACGAGGCACTGCTGAACTTCAACCTCATCGCTGGAAAGTGCGTTACAAACTGTAATACGTAAAGGCAGGTACTCTATTCCTCATTAGGGAGGAGGATCACTGTTTACAATGTACCAACCTGACAGTTGCAATCAAAGCGAGGTAGCTCAATTGGAAGAGTGGTGGGCTCATAACCCACAGGTCGGAAGGTCGACACCTCCCCTCGTTACACTTTTATCGAGCCGACCATGTGCTTTTTTGCTTTCGTGACTGCTGTCGTGATTGAGCTTTGTCACATCAATTCCGACGCGATCATTTAATTCTCTTTTCACTATATAGATTTCAGAGGCTTTTTAAAACCTGGTGACATAGAAGAACTGCTTGAAGACCTCTGTGTGCGTGGGTGCCTACGCTGCGGCGTATGTTTTAAATTGCATCACACCCAGGGCACCTTCACAGCGAGATAGCTCCATTGGAAGAGTGGTGGGCTCATAACCCACAGGAGAGAGGAGAACTTCGAAACCCTCTCTCGCTACTAGATCATGTTTGATTTTGCCACCCATTAACATTTTTTTGCTCATGTACTCAGGCATTTTGACTCAAATTCTGAACTCTCAGATCACAAAAAAGACGAATTTGAGGATTTACAATGTTCAATAAGTCTTGGAAGAAAATACGACTTGAGTGAGGTCGCGACTGATTTTTTTTGACACCATCATTTGCAGGATCTCTTCTGGGCTATGCGACGCGGCGGAGGGGTAAATACTGTGTCGCATGAGTCTACTCTAGCCTTCGGTTTAAGTAACACGTTTCGTACTAATTAGGGTACTTGGGAGTGACAAGTAAGTGTTCCGTCTTTCCAGTAAGATAGGCAACTGAAAAACTCAACTTCCTTGTTTCAACAGGTGAGGTTGTGATGAAAGTGATTCCAGATCTCGTGAAACGGTCTGTCGTTTGAGACTCAAACTTTACGGTGCTACCGTATCTTGGGCAGACAGACCTTATAGCGAAGCAATTCCTACCCGTTTTAGCTACAAACCAGCCCCAGTGGGCCAATTTAAAGTCTGGAGGCCAAATATTTGTCCTTCCTTATGGATTCAGTGTGGTAAGTACAGTTTAATTAACTTTGGACCACAACTATCATCTCCTGCAACCTCTTGTTTCTTCACACACATCTACTACGTTCCAACCTCCAATCTGAAATTTGTGCATGATGCTTTTGCTCCGCTTCTGACTTTGGGCTCGAAGGATCCGAAAATATACACTTCTCAAGTTCAGATATGGAATCGGTATGGGCACATTTCTGATTTGGGTCGACGGTATATGCTCCAATATACTGGCCGGGTGTTTAGGTATGCTGATTTTATCTCGACAATCATGGCCCCTACTATCGATTACGATCCAAATGCGTTCTGGCCACGCCCAGTGTCTCGGTTGATGCCAGAAACTCTCTTTCAAACAAGTTCTGGCATTGAGACAATGACAAACGCCATCTTCCAGGGCGCTCATATCGTCCATATCCCCCTCCAACAAGCTGTGCAGGCCATTCGACCTTTCAGTCATTTAATCTTCGTTACCGGTCCTTACAGGTAACTTTGTTTTTATTTGCATCCAGTATGAAATATCTTGATTCATGAATGAAGAACCAAAGGAGGCTCAATTCTCGCTTGAGCCTCGTTCGCCTCTTTGTTGTAGCAGTCCTGATCTAGGCAATCCAACTTCTGTCAATTCTGTCTGACGAAACTCTCACTGGCAAGGCATCTATGGGCCCGTTTGCCTCAAGGATTCCCACTCCTGAAACGAAACCAGATGGCTCAAGTTGTGGATGACGCTGGTCAAGCTCTGCGTGACATTACAACTGGATCTGATTCTTTTGTAACGAAGGAAGTGTTCTCGAACCGGATTGGCAGAACTGTCAGAGGTGGAGTGCTTTCAGTCTTGATGACAAGCTGTGAACTGAATCTCTTTATTTCAAAATCTGGCGTCCTATGGTGGCAACTACACACGACTATTGCAAGTCAAGAATACGAACGATGCCAAACATATCTTCACTGTTTGGAAGGGCGTTGGATGGGCGTCATCGGTGGACAACACTGACCGCTGCTACTCGAACTCCTGAAACAAGTCATTATCAAAGACTGACTGCCTGGTGTACTTCCTACTTTATCACGATATTACTCTCAGCAACTGAAGGGGACGGAAGGGACTGACAAGATTGGCTGTTAGTACTAAAATGAGTCATTACCGTTTGCCGTGCACTGGGTCGTACCGCTTGTTTCCATTCGATCGCCTTTTGTATATAGCAAAATATATGTCTTCAGCTGTTTTGAAAAGCAATTTGACTGTTCTGGCCACTGCATGGCTTGATGTTTCGGAAAAATCGTCCTTTTCTATATCGCCAAAAGATACTAGAATATTGAGACGCACACGTGTCGTGGAAGGTGACAATTTCCCCCAACAGCGAGTGCTATATATTCTCGCTCAAGTTCCGAGCGAAATAGGAGCGATCGCTACCACAAAACGTGACATTTCGATGGTGTAATGTTTGGGAATTGCTTATGGAACTTTTATTAATATCACAATGTCTCACGGACACAAAGAGAAGACATTGATCTGATATATCTACGTTCTTTCCTCCTTTGTTCCTGGGTCGTGATCTTTGGGTTATTTTTCTTTCGATGAAACAGGTCAGCGCGTTGTGCGTTGCAAACACAGCTTCAACACCACATCGTGGAGCTTGTAGTACGCGATGAATATATTTAATAAACGAATTGGCGGAACTGCTAGGTTAGAATAGCTTTGACTGTCAAGTGACACACTGATGGTTCTTGATCTAAATCTAGGTATGACTGGCAGTGACTGTTACAAGTCAGGAATAGTCGCGAAATATACCAAACATATCGTCACTGCTTGAAATGCTGCTGGGAAAAACTAACAATGGCCGTTGTCATGACGTCGCTACGGTGAAACAGGTCCCTGTCAAAGGCGGTCTTAAGAACGATACCACACGTTCTATGCTGTACCTCACATAGCAGGAGACCCACGACTCTAAACCTCAGACTGGTTCCGTACAAACCGTGGTGATTTATTCCGAAATATGGTGGTCGGTGTGACCTCGCCGCCTTAAGCCACTGATTTTGTTTTTGGAGAACTGCATGACAAGATCTAGTCAGGTAATCACTATCTACTGGCGGAATCATTTGAAACTTTGGTTTTATATCTGTCTTTGCTTCCAACTTGACCCTCATTCGTCAAACGATAAGCGTGGTAAAACCTGATGATGTGGTTGCTGAGCCCAAACAATGGATTGCTGGTTTCAAAGAACTTAAACCTGCAAGTGGAAAGAAATCTAGAGTAAATTTTTGTGGTGAAATCTTTGAAGGGATTTATTTCTAGAAGTGGGTCATCCCTTCGCATTTCTCAGGGGAACTTTGAAGGTACGCGAGGAATTCAACGCTATTCTAGCTTCTTTCAATTTTGTGTGAACGCTATATTCTCTTAGATTATTACTTGTATCCGTCACATCTGCTCCCAACAATTCCTGATTTGACGGCATAAGCAGAGTCTCCAAACGTTTTACCATGTCACCACCAAGGTTTTGCTTGACCCACAATCAGTAACACTCGAGAGTTTCACTGACAATCTATTTTCATACCTCAAATTATAGCCTCACGATTGTTTTTCTGCTTATATCTGCTACATTCGCTGCTTCACCATACTGCACGCCTTCTGATGCTTGCTGGCCCTCGGTTACAGTTTGGCAACAATTCAACTCGTCAATCAGTGGACGTTTGATTCAGGTCACTCCATGGGCTGTAAGTAAATGGTTCGAACTTAAAAGGAGATATATTTTTGGCTTCCATCACTCTTAAAGGTCTGACTTTGGCTGCTCGCATTTCTAGTCTCCCTGTTTTGCCATCCCAGGGCCGATGAACCAAGCTGCTTGCAAGAGTATCGTTGCCGGTTACTTGGATGATTTTACAAGAGCTAATCAATGTGGTGCCTATGAAAAGTAAGTTTCAAAATGGCGATCTTAATGGCTAGCCGACCTAAAACATTAAGCAAACAGTTCTTACCAAGATATCAAGAATATTTAATTAACATATAAATTTCTAGTTTGAATTCCGAGTACTGTGGCAATCTCGAGTGTTCGTTGAATTATCTTGCCCCATACGTGACGATTGGACGAACATGCTCTTTGGGACGTATTCCTCCATATGCAGTCAACGTGCAACAAGACTCGGATGTTCAAGCTGCTATCGCATTTGCTAAATTGTACAACATCAAATTGGTCGTGAAAAATACCGGCCACGACTACCTTGGAAGAAGCTCAGGTTTGGACGCTTGATCTTGGCCAACGGTTGCCGTCGTGTCGTAGCAGACCAACACAGTCTAATTCTATTTCACTCTTGAACAGCGCCGGACAGTCTCATGATCTGGACTCACAACTTGGTCTCAATGAGTGTTCAACCTTCCAACAGCATTTGTGGTGAATCCCATCCGACTATAACTATCGGTACTGGCGTACAAGCTAAACAAGCCGTAACGTTTGCTGCTAATGCTGGATTTGCTCTCGGTGTTGGCCAATGCGAGTCGGTTGGTACCGCAGGTACGTTATCTGTCGCCTGCCATCCCGTTCCTGCGTCATACAGATTCTCCTATTCGTCAGAACAGGCGGCTGGAGCCAGGGTGGAGGACACGGAACTCTTGCGCCTCTTATTGGCATGGGAGCTGACCAAGTAATGCAAGCCAAGATTATTACTGCCGATGGTACAATTCGTATCATCAACAAGTGCTCTCCTAATGACAAGGATCTTTTCTGGGCTATGCGAGGTGGTGGTGGTGTAAGTCTGCGTGTCTTGAAAGTCTCCTCGACCATTCCGTTAGAGTAACACTTTGTTGTTTAGGGTACTTGGGGAGTTACAAGTGAGTGACCTATTCCGGAATATATGCACGACACTCGTTGAAAATCTTTGTTTTGCTGGCTTATTAGCTGAAATTGTGATGAAGGTCATTCCAGATATCGTTGGAATATCAGTCGTATGGGAATCGAACTTTACTCTTCTAGCCGACCTTGGGTTGAAGGATACCGTCACAGGGAGTTTCATTACGATGCTCGCCACAAGCCAACCCACATGGGCAAATATTAGCTCTGGCGGACAGACGTTTTTCTTCCCATATGGATTCCGTGCGGTAAGCATATTATGCCATTGAGTCAAGAGCTGGTCAGCTTTACTTGTTTTTCTAATGTTATTTTCTTTGCAGATTTATTATGTGCCAAGCTCCAACCAGGCATTAGTTAAAAGCGCCTTTGCGTCTTTGCTCAATTTTCAGCAAAAGTACCCACTTTTGCTTCAGACATATACCTCAAAGGTTCAGACATGGAATCGGTAAGTAGGGCTTACCCAAATCAAATCGGTGTCCTGGCCAACGAACACTGAATCTGCTCTTTAGATACGTTGACTTTATCAGCAATATCATGGACCCTACTGTCGCCTATGATCCAAATGGCTTTTGGTTACGCCCAGCGTCTCGGTTGATGCCAAAGACTCTCTTCCAAACCAGTGCTGGTATTGACAAGATGACGACTGCCATCATGAAGGGTGCTGCCGCTGTCAATGTGGCACTTCAACAAGTCGTCCAAGCTATCCGACCTTTTTCTTATGTGATCTTCTCCACAGGCCCTCTAAAGTATGTAAATAGCAAGGCCAATTTTTCGAAAGTGAAGCTGGGCTGCTACGGCGTATCTCATTCACTTTCTTTTTTACGTTAGTAATCCTGATCTTGGCAACACTACAGCTGTAAATCCTGCCTGGAGAAACTCTTACTGGCATGTTATTTATGGAACTGGTTTGCCTCAAGGATTCCCTCTCGCTGTACGAAACAATATGGCGCAAGCGGCTGATAATGGCGCTCAAGCTCTTCGTGACATTACTCCTGGATCTGGTGCATATAGTAACGAAGGAAGTATTCTTGAACCTGACTGGCAGAATTGTAAGTGGTCTTCTTTGGAATTTCCAAACATAGACTGATCTCGCTTTCTAGCTTTCTATGGGTACAACTACCCAACGCTGTTGCGAGTCAAGAACAAATACGATCCCGCTGGAATCTTTACGGTTTGGAAGGGTGTCGGTTGGGTAGCAGGTGCTGAAAACACTGACCGTTGCTATGCTAATGCATGAGCACCATCAGCAAAGCACCTCTGTGTGCATAGGAATTTAAAGTAGAACCTGAGTTGTGAGTCATGGGTGACATGTATGTCTGAATATTTATAATCTGATCTGAATGTATTTAATATATCTATCCTATCCCGAAACGCTGTTTTGCCTTTCGGCCGTCGAATGCATTTTGTTTTTTTAGGCTGTCAGTTGAAAACTTTGTGCTTTCCACTGGTCAGATCTGAAAATCATTCTGCAAACCTGCAAGCATTGTTACGAGCATTCAGAGTCACTTTACTGTAATTTCTATGCTCAGGCCTCTCACATGGCGAGCCAAGAACGACCGCTCGTGAAAGATTGAGTTTTGGAGAGATTTTTTCCAGTATTCACAGATTTCACAGTTGACGCAGGTGCGAGAAACACAAATGTTTCAAAGGTTGAGGGCTGCACCTCTATATCATGGTACGTATATGCATTAGATGCACCGCAATCGCATATATTCCGTGTCAGAAAGAAGACAAAATCCAGTATTTTTCTTTCTTACTTTTCGATGCACGTTTACCGCTACACACCTCATCTCATCACGACAAACGCTTCCCAAAATCGATTCATTCGACAGCGATCACTGAGCAGCCTACAGCTATTCATTCTCGCCGACCAGAAGCCATGTGGCAACTTCGTTGTTGGTACACAGCATCAAACGTTTGGAGTTCCCCTTGCAAGTTCTACTAAAATTTTCAACACCATCGCACTTTGGTAGTAATTATAGTCCATTTCGCATCGAATTTTGCTGCCTTGCCATATTGCACACCCTCCGATCGCTGTTGGCCTTCCACTGATGCTTGGCAACAATTGAATACACATTGTCTGTTGATGGTCGATTGATTCAAGTTACTCCTTGGGCCGTAAGTGACCACTGAATGTTCCTGAAGTCATTTGAGAATTATTTTAGCATTTTAAAATTATTTTAGCGTTGGAAGTTGGCTCACGCGGCATTTACTGAGCCCCCTTGTTTTGCAACCGCAGGACCATCAGACCAAACTGCTTGTCAGACCGTCAATGCACATTATTTAGACGGCTTCTCAAGAGCAAATGAATGTGGTCCTTATGATAAGTAAGTTCAAATTTGAGAGAGCAGTGCCTCCATGCGACCACAAGCCAGTACCTTGAGCTTCAGCTATTAATGTAATTAACATGCTAGTACGTACTAGTTTGAATTGGGAAAACTGTGGCAATCTGGAGTGCTCATTGAATTATCTAGCACAGTATGCTACACTTGGGCGAACGTGCTCGTTGCTCGTTGGGAAGGATTCTTCCATACGCTGTTAACGTGAAACAAGATTCAGATGTCCAAGCTGCTATTTCATTTGCTACTCAGTACAAATCAAACTGGTAATCAAAAACACTGGACACGATTTCTATTGATGGGATGATGTGACGCGACACTAACCCTTTTTTCGCATTAGATTTATTACGTGCCAACCACCAACATGCCACATGCGTGGAATGCAATGGTCCTTTGCTCAATTTCTATCACAACTACCCCTTCTCGCTTCACACTTATACGTCCCAAGGGCAAACATGGAATCGGTAAACAACGAGTTTGTATTGTACCCCCTTTCCTCTCTAAAATTTATTTTCCTTCTTAGATGCGCCGGCTTTATCACCAACATCATGGGTCCTACCGAGTAATATACTCCTAATGGATTCTGGGTGCGAGTAGGCTCCCGCTTAATGCCAAAGAGTCTATTCCAAACCAGATCCGGTATCAATACGATGACAAGTGCTATCATGAAGGGTGAAAATGCTGTGACTACGGCTCTTCAACAATTATCACAGGCGACTCGTCCTTGTTCGTTCATCATATTCGCCACCGGTCCTTATTAGTATCTTAATCCTGAAATACATACACTCTCAAGAATTTACACTCACCCGAAAAAGTCTTAACTCCTTATTCACGACAGTAATCCTGATCTTGACAACACCCACTGCTGTAAATCCGGCTTGGAGAAACTCTTACGGGCACGTTATTTATGGCACTGGTTTGCCTCAAGGATTCCATCTCGCTGTACGAAACAATATGGCCCAAGCGGCTGATAATGGTGCTCAGAGCTCTTCGTGACGTTGCTCCTGGTTCTGGTGCATATAGTAACGAAGGAAGTGTTTTTGGAACCTGAGTGGCAGGACTGTAAGTGGTTGGTGTAGCTGGCGTTGCCGATTCTGATGACGTTGCTGATAACTTTTGTCCTTGTACTCTAGCCTTCTATGGGTATCACTACCCACTACTGTTGCAAGTCAAAGAGGTATACGATCCGAATGGGATATTCGCTGGTTGGAAGGGTGTAGGCTGGGTAGAAGGAGCTGACAATACTGATCGTTATTATGCGAACGCATGTTCACCGTCGTCATTCATTCAAACTTTGATTTGGGTGGTGGCTGAAGCGAGAAATATTGGTCCTCTCATTCAACTAAATGTATACAAACATTGATTAATATAATCATTTGAGATGTGAGTTGGAGCATACGTGCTGTAGCACCACTTGAGTGCAAAAATATCAACAGTTGATCGCAATATACACAATCATCTTGATTTATTTTACAAGCAATGCCATATTGTACAAACGATACTTAAGATCTACCACGACTTCGACCACGCCTCTAAAATATGACCATATCAGCAAACAGAGCAACCTGACTCTTGTCGTCTCAAAATTTGTCAAAATACTTACCCCTCCCCGCGGTTTTGAACGAGATGGATCACCACGCTTTGGACGAGTTGGTTTGGCCACAGATGATACAGCATTTGAAGGCGGAGGAGCATTGTAGAAAACAGGTTGAGGTATGATTTTTGACTTTTTGGCTGTTCAATGGCGCAGATTTCAATTAGAGTCAACAACCAAAAAACCGCATTAGCAACAGGACCTAGCGGCCTCACATGTAGCTTCTTCTGCCACATCCTTCTGAATTGTAGGCTCCCTAATACGATGATTCAGTGCTTCTTGATCATCAAAAAGGAATTCCACATTGATACTCACATGAATAGGTCAAACTCACTGCTACCAGGAGGTCTTACAAGAGCATCAGGAGCAGCAGTAGTAACTGATGGCATTCGTGGGGGAGGCAAGACCAGTACACGTTTCCTCAGGTTTGCATTCTCTTTTGGTTTGGGGAGAATTGCATGGTCACTACTAGTAGTGGTGCCGCGAGGGTTTGTAGTAGTGGTAGCGTTGCGAGGATTTGTAGGAGGATTTGTACGTTTGGGAAGAGATAGTATGTCACGGATGGATAGGCGTGTAGGGGCAGGAGGTTCTAAGAAACAAAAAAAGGGTATTGGCAGATTGAAGACTCGACAGTCAAAACCAGAACTTACGAGATTTGACATGGTCCAGCACCAACTGCAACTTATCCTCCAAAGCCTTGAATCGAGCATCAATCTGTGTCATCATTCCTCTCGTCCCAGCATCCAACGTAGCGATATCTTCTTGCACAGTATCAATACGACCTCCCAAATCCGTCACCCCCGTCTTTACAATCTGAGAAAATACCTTCTCAACACTCTGTTCGTGTTTCTTTGTGACTCGCGTCTCAATCGATTCAGGAAGCTGATCAATATTGCGTTGAATCACACCCAAGTCCCTTTTGATGGTATCAATACCACTCAAGTGGGGAATGAGATTTGACAAGGATGCCAGCTGACAAGTCATGTTTTGTAGGCTTGTTTTGGAAGAGTTTGTCAATGCAGATAAGAGTGATAGCAGTTCTTTCTGCATGCGAATGTCTAGAGATGGTTCCAATCTGCGGAGTTGATCAGACAAGGAGTGGTAGTCTTTCAACATTGTTTGTTTGATGTTCGCAAATGCTTTGATCAGATGTTCTTGGACTAGATTGGAATGAGAATCGTTGATCAACACAGAAGAGACAGTTGCAAAAACAAAGGATGCAAGTCGCCAGGCATTATTTTAAACATTACCACTCCATTATAACATTACCAGTCTTTTCAACCACATTGACGACAATGTCTTCCACCATTTGTTCAGCACCATTTTCCACATTCGACCAAGCGTTGTTTACAGAGTCTTGAGCTTCAGATACATGTTTCAGCAATGAAGATTCAGCAGTTTCGAATGATTGCATCAATTTCCTTAGTTGTGAGAATGCATCGCGAGTTGATGACTCCAGGTCGAATAGCGAGCGAGATGAGGAGGACGAAGACGATGGAGGAGGCGATAATAAAGTAGCAGATAGTGGTGGTTGAGCGGCATATGATTTCAAGAAGCTTGTCAACTCCATATTCTGCTGATCTACAAGACGAGAGAATGGCATGTGGTTAGATCTTATCAGATAAAATGGCACACATATTTTCAACACAGTAATTGCATGCCCTGTGCTTCCTTCCTCGGACGGTCAAAATTCACGTCTGAGCAATTAGTAGCTTTGTGTTGATTTCTGTGATTTTTAAACCTGTGCGAGTTGCCCACAGAAGAAAAGACGTTGGAAGATGGCCGAACTGGAGCATATGGTCAGGTGAGCGATACAAAATCAAATCTCTACAATATTTCTATGCCTCCGTTATAACATTTTCTGTTGCAGGCGGCTTTCATTATCGCCCCGTCAATCAGCAACAGCTCCATCAAAATATATCGAAAACGAAGAAGATACCGCCATGCCATCATATACACCTCAGGCCATACACATGTCCTCTCCATCATCATCTCCACCATCCACATCATCACCATTCACCAACATTAACGAAACACTCTTTGCCGAACCTGAATCAACCCACCACATATATAGTCATAGTAGCAGCAGCAGCAGTACAGCACTAGTCGCACGCCACGGAGGCCGCCATCGCAGAGCATATAAGATCCCATCGCCGTATCCCTCCCTTCGATTCAGTGTTAGACTTCCCACTCTTCCAACACGATTAACAACCAACATTGGCAGTAAATCTCGACGTATGATATCTCATACACGGCATGCTTCTACATCTTTTATAGAAACTAGTAGTCATAGTAGTAGTAACACCACTAGCAACAGCAATATCAGCAGCACACACAGGACAGGAGACAAACGCAAACGCCGAACACGTAGAAACTCACTAGACACATCGCTCCCACTACCCCAAGTCGATTTCGACATATCAAGTCTCACCGGCTTCTCAAACAGTCTCTCATCCAGCATCCAACGATTATCAAACGACTCTAAAATAGGCAGTAATCTCAGCTTGTTGAGTGATGATGGAGAGACAGAGTTGCCGTTAATGTCTCGCATGCTGTTTATAAATAGTAGTCCTAGTAGTAGTAATAGTAATAGTAAGATGGATTCAGTGGAAACGGCATCGTCAGGATCGTCGTCGCATGCAACTGAGGATATGGAGTCGGATGATATGGTGGAAGATTATGAGAGGAATAGGTTGAGTGTCTTGTTGCAAAGAGTGGATATCAATCAAGATGCAACGCTCACCTACATATCATAAGTAAAGGAAGAGCTAGGGCACATAGATCGGCATCTTTAGCATACGCAAGCGGAAACACCATTCCTATAAATCTTATTCGTGAAATGCACGGGTCGTATAGCAACTATCTGGCAATTTTATATGGTTTGGTGGCTTTTTTTCTTTGTACATCTTAATACACACACAACCTCAAATGAAAATATGAATGACTTTTAGAACCAAACTGTTCTTTTTTTGTTATTTTTGCTTTGTTTTAAGTATGGGGGTTTCTTGATTTGTTTTCTCTTGTCCTTGCATTTGACAACACCATTTCAAACATCCACTATTCACACCATCTCAATATCCTCATCCACATCACCATCATTCTCTTCCTCTGCCTTATCTTCTGCGTCGTCATTACTATCTTCAATAGAGACGACCTGTCCCAATGGAGACGGTTGAGCAATACTAATATTATTCTTTGCTAAAGGTGCAACACCACCAGGGGGCGGAGCAAGCTTCTTGCGCGGCGGTTGAGTAGTCGTAGGTGAATTTGAAAGAGTATTTCCAACTAGACCTCCAGTCTTGCCATTCATAACAGGAGTTGGAGAACCAGGAGGAGGAATATGATCCATGGTGGTGCGGCGAGCCCTCTTCTTCTTGACTGCCTGAAGAGTGTTCGATATTAATACACCTTGCATCCATCCTTGAGGCCAAACCTCGATGAGCTAAGGGATGGTGTGTGATGTCAGTGCTGGCAGTGAGTGGTATGGGTCGTGTCATTGATTCAACATCAAGGGAAAAAAGACAACGTGCGTTTTACCCTGGCGAAGGCTTCTTTTCGAGCACGCCTCTCAACCTTTTCTTCTTCTTCCTTCTCTTCGATTTCACCAGTATAAAAGCTACAGTGATTTGACATTTAGTAAATATTTGGTACATGAGATTGACGTCATAAACCCCAATTAACGAGATATACGTACTCTAGTTCATTCTTGACGCATGCGATATCAGATGTGCTCATGACAATATCATATATACGTTCCCGTGTTTCAGAGTCAAGTTCGAATTTGGGTGCTGGGATGGCGTCTATGAAGAGTGGTGTCAAGGCATGAGTCATGGCAGCAACGCACGACAGTCTTTTGCTGAACAGACTCACCTTCCTCTGCCGTCTGTGGATTGGCAGCAATCTACGTGTAGCATTCAAAATTAGTTCTATGATCAAAACGCGGCCATAAGTGGTATCATTAGCAAGATCAGTTGCTTACTTCTTCTATATGGTACGAAAATGGTCAATCCTAGAAACCAATACGTGACGCAACAAATAGTTCACTTACGTGTCTTCCTTTGCACCAAAGCTTCGTATTTTGGCATTTGAACCATCATCATACCATGCACAATTTGACCCAGACGATTATACAGGTCATTCAATTCTTGTGTGTTGCGTTCGATCTTTTCTGGTAATATCATCTTTCCAATCAGTTTCTGCCAGAACAACAAAAACGTATCGAGTCAACTACGTAATGTCATTTGAAGACAGGATACAGTAACCCAATCGTATAGAAACTCACCTTCATTGTGAATGTGTTGTACGGTAGTATCTCTCGTACATGAACTATGAAATCATCGTGAGGGTGGTTCACGTCCATAGCGACTCGAGCTGCGGCATGAAGAATAGGCTTCAAAAGAGGTGGAAAGTTCTTCTTCTCGGCGAATGATTCTATTTGGAGAATGATTGTGTTAGATATCATAATTTAGAGTCATTGGCGATCTCGCAGTCCGGTTTTTCCTCACGCCACCACTAGTGCCACGGAGTCACCACCAAGTCAACAGCCGTGAACATACCTCTGGAAGCAGCATTCCTCAGAACCTGTAGAGCATCTTGCAGCGCTGGAGCAAGAGGTGGAGGAAGACGATCCACTGTCTCCTTCTTGACATCCTCTGCAGAACCACCCATAGTACTCGACCCAGCAGGTGCAGGAGCAGCAGCAACATGATGACCATTTGCTAAGCCATTGCCAACAGGACCATTACTAACAGCACCGTTCGGAATGGGACCAGCTTTGGTAGCAAGTTGGTTTTCCAACATGAGACCTTTCAATAATGCATTTATAGCATGGGAGCCACTCAAACCACCACCACCATTGGATGTAGAACCGGGAGCACCAGCAACGGGAGTTGATGGAGCTGTACTGGCTTTTGGCTTCTTTTTAGGCTTGCTTTCGTCCATGCCAGCACCTTTACGTTTCTTGGCTGCTGATTCTGGAGCATTTGGGGTGGGTGTAATAGCAGTACTAGGAGAAGCATCGTCATCTTCTATTATTACTGTGGGACCACCTGGAGCAGTAGTAGTAGCCTTCTTCTTTGGTGATTCTTTGATTGGTACAGCTCGTTGTTTGCCCTTTGCAGTGGTACGTTTACGTTTTGCTGAGGGCGAGTCTTCACCTGATGAGTCGTCTCTGACACCACTACAGTAAAGGAATTTGAAGGTAATCAGTATTGCTGTCAAACACTCGAAAAGCTTAACTCGAAAAAACATACCAAACATCAACAAACACACGAACTTACTATTCATCGAAAAAGTTCTCGACAGGACCCTTCCACACAAAGAAACCAAAGTCCCATTTAGCAGGAGGAGCGTAATTGACTTCAGCCCCAAATAGATCCGAGTCGTCAATGAATTCATCGTCCAAGTCATAATCTTCATAAACCTTTTTCTTTGCAGCAGCACCACTAGCAACCTGTTCGCTATTACCATCAGGATCAGAAGGCTGATCATCGTCATCATTATCAGAGTCGGCTTCAGATCCAGGCTTGTCGGCTTGATCGTCGTCGTCATTGGCCATTACAACATCGCCATTAACATCTTTGTGTGTAGGCGGAGGAGATGATTCAGAGGAAGAGTCGGGTCCATTAGCAGCATCGGGAGGCTGTTGAGCTGCGACTTGCTTCCTGAGTAGCTCTCGATATGAGACTATATTGGCTTGTTTGGCGTTTGGGTCGTTTGCTGGCAAGTTGACGAGATCAACACGGACACGACAACTCTTGGCATTTATTGGTGGCGGAGCGTCTGGAAAGGATAATTTTTCCTGCATGATTGAATGTAATATCGTGATAGGTGATGGATTGATTTAATTTAATTTTATGTTTTGTTGCTTCCTCTGGTCGCTGTCTTGCCAACCTCGTTTTTTTCGTGGGCCACGAGTTGAGAATGTCCATGCTTGTTTCCCCTTAACGTTTTTCAGACACCTCGTTTTTGGAGATCTGCACATAAAAGACGTGTTTTTTTGATGTAGATATTGTGAATAAGTATTTAATTGCTCATATTGAGTTCTAAATCGCGTCCTTACTATGTTGTTTTTGTTGGTATCACTGTAATTCGGCGCAGATTGAGATTTCTTGACTTTTGGTATAGGCAATTAGTCGCAGTATCTCAACCAAACTACAGGGGAGACGAGAAAAATGATGCAAAATGTGTATCAGACACATGTAATTTGCGATTCGACTCAAAATATACCTTCATTATGCCATGTTGTTGGCGCAGCTGAGTTTTGCTGGTGGGGCTCGTTTCTTCAGCTTTTGCAGAACACGCAGACGTGATATTTGCCGGTAAATGCAACGAAATATGCCGCGGCATTGAGCTATATTTATAGATCTTGTGGAATACCGACTCAGCTTGAACACCACACGCCCTTAAAACTCTCAAACTGCAACTCGTTGAATCGCTAAAACAAAAACCACTCAAAGTACCTCCATTGCCTGCAGCTCAGGCCGATAAATATGGCTGACTCTGTGAAGAGCATCGTGCGTTCTGTGTAAGTAGTGTTTCTCTAAGGCTTCAATTCACGCCGCCACGTAAAATGTCTTGATAATGGATGACCAACATTTGACGGCCCAAAACCATTGGAAGGAATTGGAGTCGAACATCCAATATATGCTCCTGCTTGATATTGAATGACCCTAGTGGTCTCATCGTCTTTCAATACGTTGAATTCCTTCAAGTCCCGCAGAGACATTTGACATACATTTTCCACCCAATTTTCTGGAAACCAAAATTCATTCTTATTGCCTCTATAGGAAAAATTACGCCAAGGGATACTCAGACATCCAAATCAAAGTCAGGTACACAGCACTTTGCTGATTTTATTGTTGTTAGCCCACTCTCGTAAACTAACACTTATGTGTCTATTAGACAAGCAACCTCCAATGATCCGGCAAGTCCTCAGTCTGATCATGCTCAGTAGATTCAGTTGATAATATTTGACCATTTCCAAACAGTGGGGACCATCTGGTACACTCATGGCTGAGATAGCTGATGCTACATACAACGCGTACGTCTTCTCGAAGTTGCTGATAATGCAGCAGACCGCTCGACTCAACCTTCATGTTTATAGACGAGACTTTCAAGAAATCATGGAAATGGTTGATAAGCGACTTAATGACCATGGAAAGAATTGGAGACACGTATTCAAGGTACATCACGAAATATCAAAACTTTGTTTCATTGCTCATTGACTCCTTTCCCTGTTTTAGGCACTTACATTATTGGATTATCTATTACATTCTGGATCTGAAGCAGTCATAACTTACGCCAAAGATAACATCTATGTCATCAGAACTCTGAAAGAGTTCCAGTTCATCGATGAGGAAGGGAAAGATCAAGGAGCAAATGGTATACATACGAATCACGCCAAAGCTCTGTTGTTGGAGCTTAACAACTCACAACGATGTACTGACGCAATCTTTTGTTCTTTCGCAACATCTAGTACGTCAAAAATCAAAAGATTTGACAGCGCTTCTGAATGATGAAGCAAGATTGAGAGAAGAACGAGCTGCCAGACAGGGAATGCAAAACAGAATCAGGGAAGAACCAACACCAAGTGGAAATGGAAATTACGATGAAGATGCTCAGCTAAGAAGGGCTTTGGAAGAGAGTAAACGAACAGCCGCTCTTGATGAAGCCAGGAGAAGAGAGGGCATGACGTAAGCTCATTTTACTCTTGATTTTGTGTGAACCGCAAAAAAACCAATTAGAGCCCTATTGTTTCTTCAACAGGGACTTGGAATTGCAAAGGACGCTAGAATTACTAGCAGAACGAGAACAAATGCAATTAGAGCAACGAAGAATTGCCAATCAGTTGACCGGAGGCAGTACCTTTTCATTTGAAAAGTATGTGTGCCACGTCACAAGTTTCAACTTATGAGATGAAGCTCACATCATTCTAACAATACTCAATAAAATCCCTTTCAACAAACAGCAACAGCCCAACAGAAGATTTCGATCCCTTCCAACCTAAATGGGGTGGTGGTAAAGACGTAAACCCCATTGGGTCGACATACAATCCATTCATATTTGAAGCTGAAGCTGGTAAAATACGATCACCTTCAATGAGTACATCCAACAGTGGCAACAATCTTAATATGGTGGTTGGTATGAATCCTCTTCGACCACAATTGACTGGTGAACCTATGAGAACAACATTCCCTGTCGAACCTCTTCGAACTCAACACACAGGCCCATCTTCATACGGTGTTGGTGGTGGTGGGGGATCGCAATTCGGAAGCGGATTTGATGGTGGTGTTGGTGCTAAACCGATGCCTTATCAGGTAGTGGTGCAAAGTACCGACTTTCTTTGTTAAAGTTGACTCAATTGTAAATCACTTGCGCTAGGGTATGAATGATGCAAATGCTCAGATGGCGAATATGGCACGTAATAGGTACAGAAGAATTGCCTTTAAATGGATGGGGGGAGGTTCTCGCAGCTTGTTTGCTAACACATCTGTTGTCATTAGTTCTCAAATAGATCCTTTTGCCAATCTCGCTGCTGGCCGAACCAACCCAAACAAGTACGTTCTAACTCCTAACTCTCAGAGTTCGAACAATATTTCTCACTCGATGCTGACATATATTCATATGTATTAGTCAATTTGGAAGTGGTGGCATGGGCATGGGATCATCAGGAATGCCGCAACAAAACTATGGTGGTGCTGGTAATGGCTCTATAAATCCATTTGGTGGAAACACCGGAAGCTCTTCATCAGGATTCGGTGGAGGCTCGAACTATAATACTAATACTTTTGGCGGCTCATCAGATCCAAATCCATTCTCTGCTACAGTGAGCTTGTTTGTCTCTGAAGATCATGTCTGAATTTCAGTTGTTTATGATTTCTCTCTTTTTGCAGCCTGGACCTGGTGCTATGGTGTTGGCATCGTCGAGTGGACCTTTTGGAAGTGGGTCGAGTGCCTTCCCAGGTCAATCAACTCCATTTGGTCAATCGAATTTTGGAGGACAGCAACAGTCCTCTGGATATGGAGTACCACAACAACAGCAATCTGGATTTGGAGGTAACACAGCACCAAATCCATTTGGTGGAGCCAACAACGCCTCTGCATTTGGTGGAACGTCATCTCAACCATTTGGAGGCAACAACACTTCCCAACCGTTTGGTGGTGCCTCATCACAACCTTTTGGAGGCAACACATCTCAGCCATTCGGTCAACAATCATCTCAACCGTTTGGTCAACCACAACAGCAACAGGCAGCCAATCCATTTGGTGGTATGGGTAGTGGTGGCGGTGGTATGACTACTCAACCATTCGGTGGTGCTTCCAACATCAATAGTAATAATGCTTTTGGTCAACCGCAACAACAACAGCAATTTGGAAATCCGGCTTTTGGCAGCACTCCCTTTGGTCAACCTCAACAACAGCAACAGCAACCCTTTGGAAATAATAATAACTTTGGTCAGCAGCCATTTGGTACACAACCGCAACAACAACCACAACAACCATTTGGCAATAACACGTATGGTCAGCAAAATGGGTTATTCTAGAAAGTATGGAGATAGCATTATGGACATGTCATAATTCGACCTCGCACATTTTATATTTTGCTCTAGTAAAACGATTGTATTGATGGTGGTGGTGGTGAATTGGTGATGAGCAAGCTGATTACGAGTTATGAGGGGTTGTTGATACTTATAGTATTGCTGGTCTTGATTTCAATATAAACATCTTTTTATAAAGTTTTGTGTTTTGTTCCGAGCTTATTGCGGTTGTTTCATTATTAAACCTTTCTTCTTACCAGACAATTCCAGAGGAATCAGCTAGTAGCTGGCTCACCAGCCTTGACTACATACGACGACGAAGACAAGTTTGAGCCTGATATCGACGACGAGACTAGATACGATTACTCCCAGTATGTCAACGACGAAAACGAACTCAAACGACAAAGCTCCGAAAATAGCGATGCAATTCATCGTCTCAAACAGTGTCAATTGAGGAGAGTACAAGAAGAATTACGAGCCAAATCGCTTTCCAGAATCAACCTGTGCGGAAATCACATTCATGATCATCAACCACATTCAAACACACACGCTAAACAGCTTCCGATCGTGTCAAGCTCTGGCGTAAGAAAAGCCATGTTTATTATTTGCCCAGAAATCAGCATTTGAATTATCGCCCGTCATATCGCTTGCAAGGTGAGAATACAAACGTCTTCAATTTGACATTGACGACGCTCGGTTTGGACGACTCTCTGACGCTTTTCTTTGTGGACTCCCTGATATCTTTATTGCTATTGAAACCATTCATTGATGTCCTTCGTTGTTACATCTAGGCTGCAATGTATCAGAAGAGTTGCAACGGTCTGTGATTTCGAGGTTACAATGTCCAGAGCGAACGATTAGATACTTTATTGTCAAGAGCACGAATTCAATGCCAGGATGATGAGTTCTGCTGTGAACCGCACCTTACAGTCAGTCAGTTCACTGGTTTGATTTCGGGCTTGGAGGCGTTGATTTTCTTGTGAAATGGTTGAGAATGTGAGTTGAAAGGCCGATGCGTTAAGGGAGTCAAAACAATGTTCGTTTTCATGTAACAGACTTGGACACGATTTTGTTTCCCAAAATTCTCGATGATATTCAATGCTTTGAACGACGGCCAGCCAGTGAAAATTGCATGAGATGGACAAGTGAGCAGGCTTACTGCCGCATATATGACCACTCGATTGAGTGCAATTGGCTAGGAGGTCGTTGCTTCACAAAGGGTTAACATTGTTGGGGTTTTCAATAGGAAGTAGAGCCTAGAGCTGGAACGCCGTGTGTGCCATACTGGACTCGGTTGATCCGTAAGTAGAGATCGTACTCGACCGTGCTGACACTGGACTTTGCGCGTGATCGAGACACGTACACTGACCTGTTTCTGAACAGCTAACCTTCTCTTCCCGACACAAAGAACCTATGCTGACAAGACAAGGGAAGTTCGACCGCAACCATACTATTATCAGCACTGAACCTTTTGATCTCGAAGAAAAGTTACGAATGATCTCGGCAACGGCGTTGGTGGCGAAACTGCTCGTTTTTCTTTGTACAGTGTATGTGATATACCACGTGAATAAATAAAACATCTTTTGGCACGAAGTTTCATGTGCTTTATCGTTGAAAGGTTTGTCGTGATGACCAGTTGACACACCGACACTTCCACTGAGCTGAAGCACACACAACAAGCTGGATTCCAGGAATAGTCGTATCCGAGCATTCGCGAATGGCAGTGGGAGTACCTCGCCGACTGAAGCAGAGATACCGCGAGGATTCCTTGCAGGTAAGATAGACTACAACCATTTAGACGGAAACGACACGTGCAATTGTCAAAGGTTCGAAACGCATCGGTGTGTCTCATGATCGAGTGCACGACGATCAGTAAGCGTACTTGTATCAAGTACTTTTGCTTAGCAAATACTGGAACATCTAAAACTTCCGACAGATTCGAGGGACTAGCTTACAGAGCAGAAGGGGGCATACAAGGAAGCTGGCAAGCAATTTGAATTTGCAAGCTTCAAGGATTACGTTTGATCCATTGTTGTAATCAAGTTGAAGAGCTTTGCAGAAACTTTAAACAAAGTTGCAAAATCCACCAATTTCAAACAAACTCCTTTCCTTTAGAGCTAGAGGACTCTGGTCAAATCCAACGCACCTCAGATCGAGGAATTGGCTCCTTTGCCAAAAGAGCTAGCTCTTCTATACCATTGACCTCTGTCTCCTCGTCACGATCTCGCGAGCTACTCTATAATTCAGATCACCTTCCATCATCCCAATTCTCAGACTTTCACACGACCTCAAACAACTCTAATAACAGCAATAATTTATTTAATTCCTATCTCCCTTCCACTTCTTCACGAACCTTTGAAAGACCGCCCACATCAAGTCCTGGATCAACCCCGCCAACGCAACCATCACGTGTAACTAGCCCACTATTTCGTAAGATCTCAAACATGTTTGGAACTGATCATGATGACGATGATCCTACGCGTCTCATTCATTTAAATGATACGATCAAAAATGCTCAAATGAAGTATCTACATAATCGAGTCACTACCGCCAAGTATAATGTCTTGACCTTCTTGCCAAAATTCTTGTATGAGCAGTTTAGTAAATCGGCCAATTTGTTCTTTTTGTTTACTGCTTTTATTCAGGTATGATGGTGATGCCTGAGTTTGTGCTCTTGATGTGACAATTCAGTCTGACGCTTTTGTCGCAATAGCAAATCGGTGATATCTCACCTACAAACAAGGCCGGTACAGCTCTTCCATTGAGCATAGTCGTATTCGCTTCAGCGGTAAAAGAATTGATTGAAGATGCACGACGAACGAAAATGGATCAGGAAACCAACGCACGATTATGTAAAGTCCTGTCTGGAAACACATTTGTAGAAAAGCCATGGAGAGATATTGTTGTAGGAGATGTTGTAAGAATCGAAAATGGACAGTTCTTCCCAGCTGATTTGGTCTTGCTTTCGTCATCTGAACCTGAAGGGCTCTGTTATATCGAGACTTCCAATCTTGATGGGTAAGTTTAGTTGACGGGTCCAGTTCGATTTCAACATGTATCTAATTCCTGTTTTTTTCTTCTAGTGAAACCAATCTCAAAATCCGACAAGGTTTACAAGAAACTGCCAACATATTGACACCTGAACAAGTTGCTCGTATGGATGGTATGATCAAATCAGAACAACCTAACCGGTCATTGTATACTTATGAGGGTACTTTACGACTTGGTCATGACGAGTTACCGTTGGAGCCTCTTCAGCTCTTGCTCAGAGTATGAATTTGTTACTCCTGTTTTTTTTTGCTGCCTCGATGGTCCTCTTTAACGCACCTTTACGACAGGGTGCCATGTTGAGAAATACTCGATGGGTGTATGCCGTTGTCGTATTCACAGGTCATGAAACGAAATTGATGAAAAACGCCACGTAAGTTCATCGGTGTGTTGCAAACGAGGTAGCATTCAAGCTGCTTATCATGTATTGTTGTTCGATAGATCTACTCCTACCAAAACGACAAAAGTAGAACGAATGGTCAACATACAAATTCTGTACCTGTTTTTCATTCTGTTGGCCATGTCAGTGTTGTGTGCTTTGGGAACCTTGATTCGAACGGTATTGGTCTACTTCGAAGTTTTTTGTTGTTGCTTGTCTCATTCCTTTTCTCATCATGAAATAGTACAATTCACCTTGGGAAAGGGAAATTTTACTCCTGTCTACTGATGGTGCTCTTGGTCAGTTCTTCCTGAACATTTTGACCTTTATGATTCTATTCAACAATTTGATTCCACTCAGGTACCTTTTAATCACGTCATGGCTGATTAAAGATCGAAAACTAATCCTTTTTTGGTTGCCTAGTTTGATTGTAACCATGGAATTCGTCAAATATTTCTTGGGAACACTTATAAATGCCGATTTGGACATGTATTATGAAGTCAATGATACTCCAGCAACAGCTAGAACCTCATCACTTGTCGAAGAATTGGGTCAAATTGACTACGTATTTTCAGATAAGACTGGCACCTTGACCTGCAACATTATGGAATTCCGCATGTGTAGTATTGGTGGTATTGCCTACTCAGACTCGGTACCTGAAGATAAGAAGCCTCGCATTGATGAGAATGGTCAAGAAGTGGTAATGATTGCGCTTGTCCTTGTGTAGCAGCTCCCGTGTTTTTTTTGGCTCACTGTGTTTTCACATAGGGCTATTATGACTTTAAGAGACTGCAAGACAATCGAAAGAATGGATCGCCTCAAGTCAGAGAAATGCTACACGAGTTCTTGTGTCTCTTGTCTGTCTGTCATACAGTTATTCCAGAAACTAGTGAAGATGAACCTGGTAAAATCGTCTATCAAGCTTCGTCACCTGATGAAGGTGCTCTAGTTAAAGGTGCTGAGATGCTAGGATATATCTTCACCACTCGTAAACCCAAAACCGTGACAATCGTTGTGGATGGTCGAGAACAAGAATGGGAAATTCTCAATATCTGTGAATTCAATTCTACTCGTAAACGAATGTCTGCTGTAGTCCGAGGACCAGATGGTCGTGTCAAACTATATGTTAAAGGAGCTGATACGGTCATCTTAGAACGTTTATCTCCTCTCGACAATTTATTCGTAGAACGTACCACCAGCCACCTAGAAGATTATGCTACAGAAGGGTTACGAACCTTGTGTATTGCATACCGTGATATTCCCGAAGAAGAATATCAACAATGGACATCAGTGTATAATAAAGCAGCTACAACCATCAACAATCGGTCAGCAGAACTCGACAAGGCTGCTGAATTGATTGAAAACAACTTGATACTTCTCGGTGCTACAGCTATCGAAGATAAATTACAAGATGGTGTACCTGATACAATTCATACTCTGATGACTGCTGGTATCAAAGTATGGGTTTTGACTGGTGATCGACAAGAAACCGCCATCAACATTGGATACTCTTGTAAATTGATTACTGAAGAAATGTCGCTGATAATATGTAACGAGACAACGCACTTCGAGACGAAGGATTTTCTACAAAAGAAATTAGCTGCTGTTCAAGGTGGTTTACAAGGTACAGGTAACGAAAATCCCTTTGAACAAGAGAGTGGAACTCCATTGCTACCCTTCTGGCCATTTAAGAAGAGGCGTGAGAAGTTGGATAAACCTGAATTCTCTACTGAAGTTGAGGTAACAGCGGCATAGCATAAACGATCGTCTCCTCTTCGTGTTTTTGCATTTCATACTCACACGTTTTTCTCACTGCAGCCTCTTGCATTAATAATTGATGGAAAAACTCTTGATTTCGCCCTGGAACGTGACATTGAACTCATCTTCTTGCAACTGGCCACACTCTGTAAAGCGGTCATCTGTTGTCGAGTATCACCATTGCAAAAAGCCCTTGTAGTCAAACTAGTAAAGAAGAATGTCAATCGAGCTGTAACACTAGCAATTGGTGATGGTGCCAATGATGTCGGAATGATACAAGCAGCACATGTAGGAGTAGGTATATCTGGTATGGAAGGTCTACAAGCAGCCCGATCAGCGGATTTCGCTATTGCCCAATTCCGATTCCTTCGTAAATTGCTGCTTGTGCATGGTGGATGGGCGTATAGTCGAATGTCGAAACTGATTCTGTACAGTTTCTACAAAAACATCACGTTGTATCTCATTCAGTTGTGGTTTGCTTTTGATAATGCATTCTCTGGACAGGTTAGTGTATTCTGGATTACTATATTTCAATGCAACTTTGATTTTTTTGTCGACTAAACATAATGTATCGATTAGACCTTGTTTGAATCATGGACACTGGCTGCTTATAACGTAGCATTCGCTCTCTTCCAGCCTGTAGCTATTGGTATCTTTGACCAATATGTGTCAGCTCGTATGTTGGATCGATACCCTCAGATGTATCAATTGGGTCAGCGTGAAGTGTTTGTACGTACATATTCATTATGTTGCGCCTTCCTTTTTCATTCCTCATGCAATATTTGCTATATTATAGTACAACGATAAAGCATTCTTTGCATGGCTAGCCAACTCATTCTTCCATTCCTTATTCATGTATTACATGATTCGAGGGATTTATGGAGAGGGCACCATTGAGCCATATGGTCTCCTGGGTGACAACTGGGTGTTTGGAGAGACTGTCTACACCGTAGTGTTGATTACCATTACTATGAAGGCAGCTATAGTGACGGATCTATGGGTCAAATTTACTTATATTGCTATATTTGGAAGGTATGTTTGTGAAATGGATTGTTAGATCATGTCGTGGCAGATGGTGCATCAGTCCAATCATTTACACTTGTTTTGTCCCCTTTTTAGTATTGCCTTGTGGTTTGTTCTCTTCCCTGTATGGTCTGTTGTCGGACCAATGCTACCTCTCTCTGCTGAGTTATATGGCATCATACCAAAGTTATATGGAAGTGCTGCATTCTGGTTTATCCTTATACTGATACCGTTTGCTGCTAACACGAGAGACTTCATATGGAAATAGTACGTTACCACTTTTGAGACTCGATATCTCCCCTTTTTTTTCTCCAACGTACTGACATTCGCTCCTTTTTTATAGCTATAAGAGAACCTACATCCCCGAGTCATACCACATTGTGCAAGAGATCCAAAAGTACAATATTCCAGATTATCGACCACGTATGGAATGGTTCCGTAAAGCAGTGCACAAGGTCCGTATGATTCAACGTCTAAAGAGGTCTCGTGGATTTGCCTTCTCGCAGAACGAAGGTGGTCAAGAGCACTTGATTCGTGTGTATGATACTACTCGAAGGAAGCCAAGAGGTTGATCAAGTCATTATGAAATTCTGTCGCTTGCAACTACACTTGCATTTGTTAAACTCTCGCTCCTTTTATCATTTCATTGTAACCATAGTCATTCAAAGATATTCTTTTTTTCGATTATAAACTAATTAAAATGATATTGAAGAAGGGTGCATGCGGTGCCGATTCGGTTTACGCGTTTTGAAGAAATTAGTTCTTACTTGAACGGGCGGGAATCACTCAATTAAAGTGTTGGAAAAAATTAAGTTTTGGTTCGCTAGGGATGCTTAATCAGCTTTGCCCTTTTTCGTTACGCTACCGAAAATGTGTGTTTTTCTTACCTCACAAAACCTAAACCATCCTAGCCAATAGCCTAAGAGATAGGGTAACAAGACATAGTAGCACTAAGAATATCATACTTTGCCATCCCATCCACAAGACTACCGCTTTACTTGGTATACTAAATCGAAGGATGACTCAAGGAGCTTCATCATCGTCTGCTGGAGGCGAACAACATGCTAACGGAGAAGGATCTGCTGAGACAAAGAAGAGAGGCCGTCCCATAGGATCCAAAAACTCAAAGGTTGCACCCCCACCAGGAGCCGTGGCTCATCAGTACTGGTCTTCAAACGAAGGAAAACGAGTACGTGTCATCGACTCAAATCTGTTTATGTTTGGATTTTTGACATCCCACACACACCAACAACAATGACATGAGGGTGATACGGTACAAGTTTACTAACCGATCACTCTATTCTTACTACATAGTTATTAGGACACATGAAGAGTATTGCTGATAACATGCGCGGTATCGAAGCACTTATCGGTGTAAACATGGGTCTCATGCCAATGCAGCCATACAACAATGCCCAACCAATCTATTTCCCTCAATTCGGTGGGTACCCCCCATATGATATGAATAATATGATGCATATGCCAAACCATTCAGCGACTTCTCCTCCTCACGATACCGCCATGGCCGATGATGGTGCGCCTAATGGTGTCGATCCAGCTACAGGCAAGAAGAAACCTGTCAAGCGTAAGAAGGTGGTCAAGGATCCTGATGCACCTAAGAATCCGTTGTCATCATACATGCTATATATGAAGGATAATGTTGATACGTTGAAGCTTCAGGCTCATGGTCAAAAGATTGGGATTGTCGCTGGTGAAGCTTGGAAGGCTTTGACTCCTGAAGAGAAGAAGGTAAGACAAGAGAGAGGTTGCATCTATTTCACACTGGTTGTGTCTAAGTGTTTATAGTTTACTAACTATTCATTCGGTGCCATTTAGCCATATGAAGACCGTGCTCTTGCCCTACGAGAATCTCACAAGCTTCTCAAGGACGAATACTTGGCAAAGAAGGCTGCTGCTGCTCGTGAAACTGGTGCTCCAGCCGCTACTTCTAGTACAGGTCAGTTTTTCGAATGTCAGGACCATGGGACACGTCATCATGTCTAACATTGCTTCCTTTACTTAGCTGTTTCGCCGAAAGAGAGCGAAGAGGAGGAAGATGACGATGAAGATGACGAGGATGATACTGCTCTTGCTCAAGCCCATTCCACTCATATGCAGGTATGCATTCACCCTGAGTTTCATCTTTGCTTTTTGTCGTTGTTTGCTTTTGTTGGTGGTGGTGGTGCTGTTTTTCTGTAGTTTTATGTCATTGTGTCTTGCCACTGGCTCAACACTAACCATTCGCTTCGTTTCAATCTTAGGGTGTCGAAGAAGAGGACGATGATGACGAATCAGGAGAATCTTCTGATGATGAGCCATCTCTCGTAAAGCCTCCTGCCCTCAAACATACAGCCCCAGCTGCAGTAAAACAACAACCACAGGCCACACCCAAGGCAGCAGGCAAGAAGGCAGCTCCACAACCAGCAGAATCCGAATCCGATGATGACTCGAGTGAAGACGAAGAAGAAGTACCCCCAGCAAAGAAGGTCAAAGTCACTCAAGCAGCTCCAGCACCTGCCAAAGTACAACCACCAGCTATCATAAAGCCTCCTACTGCCAAACCTATAACTCCACAACCCATCGTCTCTCCTCCCGTTAGTGTCAAGAAAGATAAAAAGCCTTCTGGATCCAATAGCATGAGTCCGTTGCCGGAAGTACCAAAGAAGCCAGTTGTGCCTACGATGGTTGATCCTGAAATCAAAAAGAAGAAGAAGAAGAAACAAAATCAAGAGTAAGGGAGGTATTACATACAAGAAGTCCAGTCATTCTCTATGTTGTAGTTGTTTGATAGGGTAGTAAGGTACCAAACGTAGGGTAAAGCCAAGTTGTAGTCGTGCTTTTTTTATGTCTTGAACGTCTTATTTAGCAAATAGCAAATAAAAGATTTGTAAACAAAACTCAAAACTCAAACCCAGACGCGTGTTCAAGTGTGGTTGTATAGATTCGTGTCAACTATTTGCTCTTTAAATATTGTTGAACGAAGATACAAATAACCAACATGTCTGCGGAAACACCAACGCTGAGTGAAGTATTTGATGTCAATGATCCACACGACTCTCAGACTACCGACACGGATTTGAGATATTTGGCGTACTTTGGTGAACTTTCGCTTCAACCATCCCTTTCTCGTATCGTTGCTTACCAAAACTTGTTGATCTAGCTAGAGCAAGGGCGTTGCTACTGCCTCTTGTACGTTATTCAGCCTACACGAGCGAGTTAAGTGATCACCATCAAAGTTTTGGTGGAGCGAGAGATTTTCGACTTTTGGAGATTTGACGTATTGAAGTGGACAATTTCATCATATTTTGCATGTTTTACATTCAAATTCAACCGTTTTTCTAACTTGAATCTGTTTCTATTAGTATTGGAGAGGTGAACCAAAAATTTTAGTACCCAATCCTTTCATGATTAACGACCCAAATCTATACAGGCTTTTCGACCACTTGTCTACCGCTCAATCGTCAACCTCGGATACGCAGTCTCATGGGGATACGTAGCAACAGGTTTTGTGAATCAGCTGCTTTATAACAAGGTGCACCAACTAACCTGTTGTTTCCTTCTAGACGTGACTCTCGAAGCCATAAAAGAGAACAAACGACAAGGGTCAACAAATGAATCACTGGCCCGAGTGATACTATCTCGAGGAGTTTTCCAAAGTTTAGCATCAATGGCTCTCCCTGCGTTTACAATTCATCAGACGGTGCATATTGTCACGAACTTAATGAAGAGGAGGCCAGGCTTATCGCCTTTGATGATGAGGCTGGGACCAACTGCCGCTGGGCTGATGGTTGTGCCTGCTTTACCAATTATGTTTGATCATCCTGTAATCAGACGTCAATATTGTTTCTTAAAGGATTTTCTTCTTAAACGTATATCTTTGCTTAGGTTGAATACGCTGTTGAAAGGATATTCGATACTGTTTGGCCATCTGAATCTGCGCATCGTCATGCGTCCGAACATGAGACAAAGAAGGAGTTGTAGTAGTTTGTCTGACTTTTGAACATTGGGCCAAGGAAGGAGGTGTAATTTGATTAGAAATGAAAGGTGTTTCAAAATAGAATAGTATTCAGCTGATATTAGAGGAAGGTTATTTAGGTGGGGTATCTACTAGTGGAAGATGTAGATTACTCTAAAGGTAAACTTATAGACTAAAGAGCTTCCTTCCTGAACACGCAAACTGATCTTGTTCTCGCGTATGTCGCGTATGGCATCATGCATACGCCTCTTGATGGGGATGGCTACTAACATATCTGTAGATTCTGGAAGGGTTACCAATTTCCTTGTCCACGGGAGACCTTGAAGTGAACAAGTAAAATGACAGCTTAATGTGCCTGGTCTGCAGCATCCACCAAATGTTACTTTGAACCACTTGGGCTGCCACAATGTTTGGTAGGTTGATTTGCGTTTTGTCTTGAAGGATGATAAATGTTGTGATGAACGTTGTATAACACATGTGTCTTATTGGTTAAGGGATGTGACCCATCCATTTTATGATGGATTTAACATCCATCCACGCTTTTTTGTCGATGCCACGGTTATCTCGTACTTGGTGTGGTCGATCATTTAGTCAACATCAACACAAATGCAATGACATTTTTTCGGTTGTATTGCAGCTAACTCACTTTGACTTTTATCTTAGGTGGAGTTTCAGATCAGCTTCTCTGCAATGACGACGGATGGCTGTCAAGTCTTAGGCTTGTGTGTCTTTCTTTAAATGTCGACCCATTGGCACTGATGCCGACGGAATGTCCGCCAAACAACATGTGGTATTTGCCTGCATGGAGTTTGATATGTTGCTGTTGTTGATATTGCTGTTGTACTGTTACTAACGAACATGTTTGGACTGTCTCACTTCCAGAGTGTCATGAAGCCATGAAATACACTCACAACCATACGTAAACTTGAGGTCTCGCTTTGCAATCAATACAATCATTTAATCTATTTCATCTACATCAGTCGTTTGATGGAGCTACTAGTTATTCAATTCGCCTTCCGCATACCAAGCGCTTAGAATCCGGAATTTTCAGGTTTCAATTTCAAAATCCAAATGCGACAAGATTTTGAGCATCCATCACTCTAATTGTTCACTTGCATCATCATCTTGTGACTTCCAACTACCAGGTCATGAAATGGCTGCTCTCTTTCGGTGAATGAAAAGTTTTATGCCTTCCTCATTTCATGCATTCATCGATTATATGGCAACGACAACATTTTGAAAAAGGACAGGAAGACAATGAAGAATTTGAAGAACGTTGTCATGAGTTTCTACTCATGTCGTCCCGTACTTTTGCGTTGGGAATCTTGATCGCGATCTTCAACCACGCCAACATTGAAGATACGTTGTGGTCATAAGTCAAAACCAAAATTACCTCCAAGAGAGCATTAAAAGTATTTCAGACTAACGGTGGTCTATGTCGTAGATTTTGATCGGAACCTGGAGGAACACGAGTGCATCTGATTAATATTCATCATTGCATCGTGTGAGGACCGCGTGTTCCCCTTTCTACCACTTCTCGCCTTCAATCATGTCATGATGGGCGTCACTGACACTGCAGGAATCTCTCGTGCTTCATGCTAAAGTGATGGTGGTGGGTGATGGATTGTCACCTTCTGCATATGCTGAGGATGAAGAGTAAACGGCGAGGACCCAACGACCCCCATCTCCCGAACGAGATCTCAGGGCTTGATATCATGCTACTCTCTGAGGCTGCAGAAAGAACTCGGAATCTTTGCTAGTGTGTTATTGGTCTGAGAGCTGAAGATCTGACAATGTCAGTCTTGTTCGACATATGCACTGTAATGACCTGCGATGAGTTCGCTGATATCTGGACTGCTAGAAATATCTACGAAAAATTGTAGAAAATCGTGATTCTTTCTGAAATGGATGCAAGGAGAGTGGTAGGTGATATTTACGTTTTGCTGCAATCCAAGATTTGTTACAAATTAATTTCGTATTATATACAATTGTTTCAGTCTTCACATGAGATCAGGCATCTGTTTCTGGCTTCAAGAAGGAAGGTTTCATGCTCTTCAACGTAAAGCACCATTAGATCACGCTTCTCAACTTCATCGGTCAGTTGAACACCATTTTCTGCTCATATGACGAGTCAAAGGCGTATGTTGGTAGTTATACAGGACCGACCGCTTATTTGTCTGAGGTGGTTTGGTGCACTCACAACAAACGATGCAACCTGGCATCCATCGACCGCCATCATGGCCAACGAGACGAAGGCCAAAAATAAAGAATGCGATGAGAATCTTTTACATCTCAGTTTGGTTATTTTGATTACTACCTGATTTGAGGTTTCGGTATGGTGGGTCGAGTGCACGTATCCTTTGGGTCTAGTACCCAGATGTCAGCTTGAAAACGGTATTGAGTACGGTTGAAGTCCCTGAAGCACCAATGTCTCACTATTACCGGCATATCGGCAACCACTCCTTGCACTCGCCTCGTTTGAATTTGAGTAACATCATTTCAGCTCACTCAATGACATTGTGCAGCAACTTAAAGATATCTCCCCACCCTCACAAGAATCTTATGCAAGAGCCGAATACCACGTGAAGATCGACGGACCCAGGACTTTGGTGCCAGTTACCGGACCGCATCACGTCGCATTTGGAACCGTGCTATGGTATACTACAGGTTGCTCATATTTGGCCTCTGTCGATGATTTGCAACGTATAATCTGGCCTATAGCTCTGTACTAGAATAGAGTCGGAAAGGATTCACGTCTTTCAAAAGGAATCACTTGTCAGGTGTTTACTGACGTGACTCATGTCGCACTCTTAAAGTTCAAGCTCAACAGGGGCGCTGATAATCCTCTTTGTTTATTAGATACGAGATATTCATGGAAGTTACTATACGACCATCCTTTGATTGAGATAGTCGCAGCTGTGAATTTTAGAAAGAATGACAACACGAACCCCGATCCACGACGAGCGCACTTGCCTCTTCCAAGACCACAAGCACTTCAGATAGAAAGCTGTGGCCTTCAACCATCCAGAAGGTCTTCTATGAACTTATACCGGCCAAGTGCTGATTAGTCGTGATGACGAAAAGCAACAGTCTGGGATGTGTTGCAATCACGATGTAAAGCAAACAAAAGTGTTCCAATATACCGATCAGACCTGGTTTGGCATCCTTTGGACGTGTTTGCTTCCGTTTATTCAACGTCAACTTTCGAACGAACGTAAACGTACTATAGAGGAACGCCAGAACCTCGATGTTAAGATATAAAAGCTCGTTCAATAGAACGAGCAATAGACAATACACGCGTTTTAACCAAAATATATGGTTTTGGTTGAGACGTCATTCGATTTTCGACTTGCATTACGCCTAGCAGGTCATGTCGAAACACTTGGAACGGATTTCTTGACATTATGATAGCAAAACGACTACAATATACTATCAGCTTGGTGGTCATGCTAAGTATGTTACCATACAGTCTAAATCGACCGTTTACTGATATGTGATGGCAAATCTACTCAACACTTGTAACAACCATGCTGGTTTCAGTATAAACGCAACCACTGATACCACAGAAACTAGCAACAATACGCAGCATGTAACGTGGATGTCTCTTTCTACCATGAGTCTTATTGGGATGGACTTGTGCTCGCTGCAATCCGACAATAAACGAAATGGGTCGTATAATATACGAGAACTCATCGAACAGAAGCCAGAAGGAAGTAATGAGAACTTCAGACATAAACATTTCTTGTTTTGGCCTTCACATACACCGTGGTAGCTTCGCAACCTAATCACCTCTCTTGAGAACAAATGTAATGGATATTTGCGGTAGAGAACCTACTCGAACACTCTACAGAGTAAGGGCATTCAGAATATAGGCGGCTTTATACTGTGATCCCAAGTGTAGCCCCTCAGTTCTGATGCATGCACCAGAGTCACGGCCTGCAAATATGCCACTTGTCGATGTATGTTTTAAAGCTAGATTTATACACATCATATGGATGAACTCTAGAATATCCTCGTGAGGCCGGAGTGTCTGCTGCTGGGCCCGTCTCACCTCTAAAGTTGGGAAGGCCCGGCAAGTTTGACTGGGTTTTTGAAAATGGAACGAATTAGTGTCTTCTAATCTGTGACTCAGACACTAGCATCTTACTAGGACGTCCAGACGTTGCGCTGGAACGACGTTGGACTGATCCTTTATATCTTGAGGCGAGCCTCTATGATTGTGATCAACAGATTGCATCAACGACAAACGCAAAACGTGGCTCTATAGTCAACTATCGGGAACGATTTTGGCCCAATACTGATTGCCATATAAGCGCTTGGTCTGTGTAGGCTGGATACATCTACTAAGACGACGTTGACCGATATAATCTTCGATTAAATCAGGTGCTGGCAAATTTTTAGCAATGTGAGGAACAAAGTTGGCCGATCGAACTAGGCAAAGGGAGCATCAATGACAGCCTAGTTTTGAAAACCAAAAGATAATTTGAATTCCTGACCATGGTATACAACCTGCTTCAGTTAGAATCAGAATTTTTTTGATTGCGGCAAAATCTGGAATTGTCCTGATATGATACAACACACTCAGGGATATGGGACTTCAGTACTTACGCTGGAAGAAACATCGATATGTGGCTGAAAGTGGACTACTCACTCAGAATCTGAACTACTGTTAGAAAAGCATTGGATTTTGAAGTCGTCCTTTAGACAATCGTCGTTTTATGGTTTACTCCAACATTCTCTAAGCAAAGAAGTAGGAAATCAAACTTTGCATGACATTCGCAGACAGATCCTTTAGACTGAACGTAGCTTTAGCTGGTAGGTACTGTTTGTTGTCCACTACGTCATGACTCGTGATAGGCTCGCCAAACCCAGTACTCCTATACGCTATAGGAATATTATCTGCCAGATTCGTCTATTCTCTACGTGTCATGAATATTATTAGGCTATTATTCATTCGAGCAGAACGCCAAACAAACCATATTCATCTTTGTAGATTTTTAAAAGT